TGCTACTGTTGTTGTTGTGGTTGTTGTTGTGGTGGTTGTTGTTGCTGCTGAGTTCACATTTCTTATGACTAATTACTGTGGCCCCCCCCTTGGAGGCACGCTGCATATTTTTGATTGAAGTGCCTCTCTCGGGGCTCGCACCCTGTTTTTTGCAAGGTAAAGCTAGGGGTCACCAAACCGCCCCCCTGGCCCCCCGAGTTACAACAACAACGGCTCCCGCCTGATACTTCCTCACAATGTATTCCAACATCGCGTTCTTGATCGGGACTTCTTCACAATGTATGCAGGGATCGTGCTCTCGCGTGGGACGCCCTTGCAATTTATTCAGACGCCGCGCCTTCGACACTCAGGAATCACGCTCTCGCTCTGGCCTTTCCCACGATTTACTCGGGAATCGCGCTATCGCTCGAGACTTCCTCGCGACTCATGCAGTACTCACGCTTCAGCAACACGCCTTCTCGACCTGGCCGCTTGGGCCCGACTTCCCGACCCGCCCGTTCGAGTCACCCCGCCCGATGGGCCCGTCTGGTTCTGCCACGCGCTTTCTGCTCCCAGCCTCCCTCCTGCTAATCCCGTGATCCATCCTTCTCCCTCCCCCTTGTATCCGTCCTCTCTTCCCAATTTTCAGGGGCTGCACCAGTTGCATGCGGCAGATAAGGAAGGTATACCCCCAGGGGGGTAGGATCGCAGACGAAGAGGGTGGGTATCGAGGGTTTTAGACATACGTGCTGAATGACATGCGGGCGTGTAAGAGCGACAAGTCTTAAAATGACTGTTGTTGTTGCTGGTGCTGTTGTTGTTCTTGTTGTTGTTGTGGTTGTTGTTGTTTTTGTTGTTGTTGTTGCTGTTGAACATTATTAATTTTAAAGAATAATTATTGTTGGGCCCCCTGGTGCGCGCCCCCCCCGCCGCGCCTAGGCCGCAGCCACGTTTTCATCATTTTCGTGAGGAAGCCTCAGGTAATTCGAGGTGATCAAGATCCGGTTGTTTTGTTGTAATCCGTTTTCCCTTGCAAAAAACACTATAAAATGAAATTTCTTGTTCAATATTATCAAATTTCAAGAATCCCTTGTAAAAATAAGGTAAAGTGGACATTCGCGCGCGCAAGACGAAATCCTTCCAAAAGCTTAGTGTTCGGAGCGATTTCAACATAAAAACATCAAAAAACCAATGGTTTTTCAACAAAAAAATGTCAAAATCTCATCCCGCGCGCTCTTGCGGATTCGTAGGAAACCCAACATTTTTTCAACATTTCTGTCAAACGGGCTTTTGCGAGCAACTTTTTCGAACTTCTGCGACAACGGTTGCGCACCTGCCAGGGCCATCATCCCTGTCAAATAATACCATGCGGGACAGATTCGTTTTTTTTTGCGGGACATACACCGCCCCGAATAAGTGACCAAGTTCTGTGGGTGTGTACCCCACGCCAGTGTAGTAGCCACGGTCGTCCGCACGCCACGAAGTGAAGTGTCCCAACGTCATAGGGCGGGAAGCTGGGTTTGGGTGGTCGCGAAGAGTCGTTTGGATATTTGGTAGAGCTTGTAATGCCCCCCCACGAAGTGGGGGTATTGCCTGGTGTCGTATGAAAACCCTGGCACTGGGGAGAACACCACGCGTTCGGGTAAAATGATTGTTGTTATTGTTGTCGTTGCTGTTGGTGGTGTTATTGTTGTTGTTGTTGTTTAGGCTTTTTTTTTTTTTTTTTTTTTTTTTTGTTTTGTTTGTTTTTGTTGTTGTTGTTGTTGTTGTTGTTGTTGTTGTTGTTGTTGTTGAACATTATTTATTCTAAAGAATAATTATTGTTGGGCCCCCTGGTGCGCGCCCCCCCTGCGCCGCCTAGGCCGCAGCTACATTTTCATCATTTTCGTGAGGAAGCCTCAGGTAAAACGATGTGATCAGGATCCGGTTGTTTTGTTGTAATCCGCTTTCCCTTGCAAAAAACACTATAAAATGACATTTCTTGTTCTAATATAATCAAATTTCAAGAATCCCTTGCAAAAAATAAGGTAAAGTGGACATTCGCGCGCGCAAGACGAAATCCTTCCAAAAGCTTAGTGTTCGGAGCGATTTTAACATAAAAACATCAAAAAACCAATGGTTTTTCAACAAAAAAATGTCAAAATCTCATCCCGCGCGCTCTTGCGGATTCGTAGGAAACCCAACACTTTTTAAACATTTCTGTCAAACGGGCTTTTGCGAGCAACTTTTTCGAACTTCTGCGACAACGGTTGCGCACCTGCCAGGGCCATCATCCCTGTCAAATAATACCATGCGGGACACATTCGTTTTTTCTTCGCGCGCGCACGCCGTCGTCGTCGGCCGCGGGGCCCTGAATAGTAGCCACGGTCGTCCGCATGCCACGAAGTGAAGTGTCCGAACGTCATAGGGCGGGAAGCTGGGTGTGGGTGGTGGCGAAGAGTCGTTTGGAAATTTGGTAGAGCTTGAACCGGCCCCCCCACAAAGTGGGGGTATTGCCCGCCTCCTATGAAAACCCTGGCACTGGTGAGAACGGAGTGTCCCCAGTCTTAAATGATTGTTGTTGTTGTTGTTGAACATTATTAATTCTAAAGAATAATTATTGTTGGGCCCCCTGGTGCACGCCCCCCTGCGCCGCCTAGGCCGCAGCTACATTTTCATCATTTTCGTGAGGAAGCCTCAGGTAATTCGATGTGATCAAGATCCGGTTGTTTTGTTCCCCCCCGCTTTCCCTTGCAAAAAACACTATAAAATGACATTTCTTGTTCTAATATAATCAAATTTCAAGAATCCCTTGCAAAAAATAAGGTAAAGTGGACATTCGCGCGCGCAAGACGAAATCCTTCCAAAAGCTTAGTGTTCGGAGCGATTTTAACATAAAAACATCAAAAAACCAATGGTTTTTCAACAAAAAAATGTCAAAATCTCATCCCGCGCGCTCTTGCGGATTCGTAGGAAAACCAACACTTTTTAAACATTTCTGTCAAACGGGCTTTTGCGAGCAACTTTTTCGAACTTCTGCGACAACGGTTGCGCACCTGCCAGGGCCATCATCCCTGTCAAATAATACCATGCGGGACACATTCGTTTTTTCTTCGCGCGCGCACGCCGAAATCTCCAAAAACCATTGGGTTCTTAAGAATTTTAGCACCGCGCATCATAAAATCACACGAATCGCACCGTAGGTCCTCGAAAAACACCTGCACGACTTTTCAAAATTTCTACCCGCGCGCGCTGTCCTAACAACTTCTGTGGGTGTGTACTCCACGCCAGTGTAGTAGCCACGGTCGTCCGCAGGCCACGAAGTGAAGTGTCCGAACGTCATAGGGCGGGAAGCTGGGTGTGGGTGGTGGCGAAGAGTCGTGTGGATATTTGGTAGAGCTTGCACTGCCCCCCCACAAAGTGGGGGTATTGGCTGGCGTCGCATGAAAACCCTGGCACTGGTGAGAACACTGAGCGTTCGGGTAAAGTGATTGTTGTTGTTGTTGTTGTTGTTGTTGTTGTCGAGTTGCCATCTGTAGAGAAGGAATTCTGTGGACTCCTTCTGCCCGGCAACCGCTGCGTTTTGCAATGGAAGTGCTCCTCCCCGGGCTCGCACCCTGCTTGCTACGAGGGACGGCGAGGTGCCACCAGACCGGGCCCCGGGCCCCCGAGTTACAACAACAGACGGCTCCCGCCTGATACCCATCGGTCGTTGAAAGTCGGTATTTTTGGGTCTGGGGACGATGTTTTGGAGGGTTCTCCCACAGGGGGGGTCTGAAATGGCTCGTCTTGGAGGGTCCAGACCCCCTCCCTTTTATTACGAGATCTGGAGTATCTTATCTTCCCCCTCCCCGGAGGGCAGTCTGTCTCGGATCTCGGGGATCGGCGCTCGATCCAGGAGTATACCCCGCTGGGGGGCGCCCCCGCTCTGGCTGCCAGGGGGGGCGAAGGGGGGGGGCGCAGGGCACGGGTAAGCAGGTACTTTGTTAGTGAATTTACCCATCGGTCGTTGAAAGTCGGTATTTTTGGATTCCCAGATTACAGTCTACTTTCAGCGCCTTCCTCCTTCAAGAGTCGAGTGGTTTTCCCTCGTCCTTCCTCTTCAGGAGGCGGGCGGAAACCCAATCTATTTCCAACGCCTTCCTACTTCATGTTTCTACCTACTTCTTCCGTCCGATGGGTACTTCCTTCTTCCGATTTTTGTTCCCAAATCGCGCTCTCGCGCGGGGCGCTTTCACAATTTTTACCGGAATCGCGCTCTCACGTGAGACCTTCGCGCACTTTATTCGGACGCCGCGCCCTCGACACTCAGGAATCACGCTCTCGCTGTGGATTTCCTAACGATTTGTTTCGGAACCGCGCTATATAGCTCGAGACTTTCTCGCGATTCATGCAGGACGCACGCTTCAGCAAGCCGCCTGCTCGACCTGGCTGCCTGCGCCCGTCTTCCCGACCCGCCCGTTAGGGTCTACCCGCCCGGTCTGCCTCTCTGGTTCTGCCACGTGCTTTCTGCTCCTAGCCCCCCTCCTGCTACTCTCTCTCGTGCTCTGTCCTCCTCCCCTCCCTTGTCACTTCATTCCATCCGTCCTCTCTTCCCCTGCCTTAGGGGCTGCACGAAATACACGTTGCAGGTAAGAGAGACATCTACCCCGAAGGGGCTACGATCGAAGACGAAGAGGGCGGGTATCCAGGGTTTGGGAAACAACTGTTGATTGATACGCACGCGTATAAGAGCGAACAGTCTTGAAATGATGGTTGTTGTTGTTGTTGTTGTTGTTGTTGTTGTTGTTGTTGTTGTGGTTGTTGTTGCCGTCGTCGTCGTCGTCGTCGTCGTCGTCGTCGTCGTCCTTGCCCGCGACCCCCCGTGAACCATCCGCGACCCACCGGGCGACTCACCTGCGTCCCACCCGCGAACCAGCCCGCGACCCACCCCTCGCTGCCGAGTGCCACCTGCAGTAAAACAGCAAAAAGTGCGCCTGCCTCTCCGGGCCACCCACCCTCCCCTGCTCGTTCCCGCCCTCTCCCGCCCCTTTCCCGGGCAGGCTTCTGCTCATCCCCTCCTGGAAGACGAAGCGCCTGGTGGTGCTGCGGGACCGCAGGCCCAACACAGGCGCTCACGGGGGAGGAGGAGGAGGAGGAGGAGGAGGAGGAGGAGGAGGAGGAGGAGGAGGAGGAGGAGGAGGAGCAGGAGGAGGAGGAGGAGGAGGAGGAAGGGGAGGAGGAGGAGCTGGAGCCAGGGAGGCCGTTCCGGAAGGGGCCTCGCCGTCGGCGCCTCGACGTGCGCCTGCTCCGCGCGCCGGCTGAGGAAGAGGCGGCCTCTCAAGTGCAACCGTTCTCTCGGTGTGGCGGCATTCGCGTTCTACTGCTGGCAGTTGCGGCTTGGTGTCCGCTCCCATCTCCCATATATATGTATATATACATAGTTATATATATATGTGTGTACACATATATAAAATATATGCTATACATATATATATATACATATATATGTACATATATATATGTATATCATATATATATATAGATGATCTAATATAATATAATATAAAAACAACCCAACAGTTTCTCGCTTTCGAGGGATCGACAGGTTGAGTTCCCCTTCTCTGCGGAAGACGGAGTCAGCCGGCGGAGGTAGAGACGAGGGCGTCTCGCTTGGCGGACGGCAGCGGACATGGATCATGTCGTCTCCGATGTATGTTTTTTTGGGGGAGGGGGGTTTGCAGGAGGTCCACGGGGGCCAGGGCAGGGCATGTCCATGTCCACGGCCTCGCGGTCTGAACTCCGCGGCCACGCGGAGGGTTTCTCCGAAGGGCTTAGGCGACCCGTCCTCCTCCTCCTCCTCCTCCTCCTCCTCCTCGATCTCCTCCCCCTCCTCCGTCTCCTCCTCCATCTCCTCCTCCCCCTCCTCCGTCTCCTCCTCCATCTCCTCCTCCCCCTTCTCCTCCCCCCCCTCCTCCTCCTCCTCCTCCTCCTCCTCCTCCTCCTCCTTCTCCTCCTCCTCCTCCTCGGGTCGCCTACGGCCCCGGGGGAAACCGTGCAGATCCCACGGATGCCCCGGCGGCTCTGCGAGGGTGCCCCGCGCGGAACGCCCCCAGGATATCACGAATCCACGGGATCGGGCCTTGGTGTCCAGACCGCGAGGGTGTATATACAAGTATATACACACATATATTTGTTGAGGAAAGGCGGAGTCGTAGAGCATTCTGGTGGCCCCAAACTACTTGAGGGAACGTCTACGGCAACCTATGAGCAGGCTGCCGCCCGCTCCCGATAGTCAGATTGAACCCGACTTGCTACGAGTGATATACACATATATTTGTTTGTATGTTGTTATCACTTCTTTTGTTACTATTCTTCTTCCTTTTCCAATTCTTACTCTTCGTGTGATTCTGATGGTGCAGCTGATGATGACACGATGATGCTGCTTCTTCTTCTTCTTTTTCTTATTATTCCTTTCTTATTATGTTCATCTTTACTACGTAGTATTTCGATTATAGTTCGTCTTCTTACTCGTATACATATATGTGTATATATATATATATATGTACACGTATGTGTGTCGCAGCTCGGGATCATCCTGGCGTGCAGCCCTCCAAGAGTCCAACCTCCCCTTGCTATGATATGTCCCGCCTCCTTGCAGTGCCACTCTTGCTCATCCCCGTCCTCTTCCCCGTCCTGCATCCTCGTGCAGGAAGCGCACTCCTCCTTCTCGTCTTGTCTGCCTAGCACCGCCCCAACCTGTGCCGATACTGCAGCCGGTGCCTATACCGCTATCGTTGACGTCATCATCACCGCCGCACCCACTCCATCGACACAAGCGTGAGTTCCACGGTCAATGCGACAGGACGTTTGGTTATTTCCGATGCTTTGAAATCGCAGTCTCAGACATGCCACAGGATTTCGATATTTGTGGGGCCATGCTTGTTTTTCCTCTGCGGGTCGACGGTGTTCAGAAAGCAGCGTGCGACCACTCCTTCTCCTTCTGCACACCCTGCCCGCCTCAGATGTGGACGCCCCTGTGGCACCTGTCGTCTGGCGCCATACTTGTGAGTATCTTGGGTGCCACAGCACCTGGACCATCAACGAGCATCGGAGATGTCCGCGGCACGTTCCCGCCGCCCCCTGCCTTTTGCAAACGCCCGTGTCGTGAAACATGAAATGACATTGCGGCCACGCTAATGGACTGCGTGTTCCTCGAATTGCTGGTGGAACCACGGGGAGGCATGGGGGCGGGCCCCGAGTAGCCGTCATGGGGCGGTCTTGAAGTTCTTGGGGCACTTTGGTCCGTCTCAGGACGCTCCTGTCATGGCGCCAACATCGCAGAGCGGATTTCGTTCGGAAAACGATCGGGTGGGCCCGGGGTGTCCTGGAGACTGTCGCTCCCGATTTCGAGGTGCATCTCGTCCGGATTTTTTTCTTCGCCCAGGAGTGAAGACCAAAAAGAGCCCACGCAAAATCCGCTTCATTTTTTCGCTCGCAGCCTCGGGCAGAAGTCCGCGCAGGAGTCCGCTGCGGCACGTCCTGTAAGGCTGGTGCAGTGGCTCTGCGGCCCTCGCCCCAGAGGGGGGCGAGCACGCCTCCCGGGGACGTGCTCCAGCGACGGAGCAAAATAGGGGGCCACATGCGAACACTACCCCTAATGCGGGATGACGATTAATAAAAAAATGGGAGAGAACGATTAAACACATAGTTTTCTTTTGTTTCTGCATAATTTTCTGACTGGAGGAAAACTAGTAAAGAAAATAGTTTTCCAGCCCGCGGCCGGTTTTTTCTAATCGTCATCCCGGGCGCCGCCGCGTGAACACGACCCCTGGTCATTTATTAATCGTCATCCTCCATTACCCCCCACGTTTCCTGAGGGGGAGGGTGGGGCTCACGTCGCTCGGGACCTCCCGAGCGAAGGGAGCCCCACCCTCCCCCTCAGAACTCGTGGGGGGCAGAGGGGTGGGGTTCGCGCTTGCGGCCCCCTGAGAAAGGCCGACGCCGGCGTGGCCCTCGCCAGTGTCGGCACGGGGGGATGGCGCGGCCCTGCCTCCGGCGCACGCCCAGAGGGCGAGCACGAGTCTTAAGTCGGGCCTGTCCCCCTACAGGGGAATTTTCGACGAAGAATAGAAGATAGCCAACAAAGAATCAACAAGTAATCCAAAAAAAGAAAATACAGAAAATACAGGAAATACAGAAAATACAGAAAAATAGAAAAATACAGAAAATACCCAAAAATAGAAAACACCCAAAACATGGGGATATTTCTTGAATATTTTTGACCTTTTTGGCGCATTTTTGGGGTACCTTCTATGTTTCGTCGAAAATCCCCCTGTAGGGGGACAGGCCCGACATCCAGTCGGGGCCCTGAAGAAGGAACCCTTTTGGTTGGGGAGGGGCCCCGCGTTCCTTCAGTGTTCCACAGCTTGCCTCAGGTTTTCCTTGTGTTTTTTAGATGGGAAATCGAAGCTTGACTTACGGAAGAAAGGGGCCTCGTTCCTTATTTAGGGTTCCTTAGGTCAAAGCCCCGACTGTAACAGGAGTCCGCCGCTGTCGTAAGTCGCCGCGTCCCCCTACAGGGGGATTTTCGACAACAAATAGAAAAGACCCCCAAAATAATCAAAACATAGTATAGTCCACCAATGGTCTGGGGACTATTTTTTTTGAGTTTTTTTTAGCCTTTTTGGGGCATGTTTGGGGTACCTTCGATGTTTCGTCGAAAATCCCCCATGTAGGGGGACAGGCCCGACATCCAGTCGGGGCCCTGAAGAAGGAACCCTTTTGGTTGGGGAGGGGCTCCGCGTTCCTTAAGTGTTCCACAGCTTGCCTCAGGTTTTCCTTGTGTGTTTTAGTTGGGAAATCGAAGCTTGACTTACGGAAGAAAGGGGCCTCGTTCCTTATTTAGGGTTCCTTAGGTCAAAGCCCCGACTGTAACAGGAGTCCGCCGCTGTCGTAAGTCGCCGCGTCCCCCTACAGGGGGATTTTCGACGAAGAATAGAAAAGACCCCAAACATAATCAAAACATAGTATAGTCCAAAAATAGTCTGGGGACTATTTTTTTGAGTATTTTTTGGCCTTTTTGGGGTATGTTTGGGGTATCTTCGATGTTTCGTCGAAAATCCCCCTGTAGGGGGACAGGCCCGACATCCAGTCGGGGCCCTGAAGAAGGAACCCTTTTGGTTGGGGAGGGGCTCCGCGTTCCTTAAGTGTCCCACAGCTTGCCTCAGGCTTTCCTTGTGTTTTTTAGATGGGAAATCGAAGCTTGACTTACGGAAGAAAGGGGCCTCGTTCCTTATTTAGGGTTCCTTAGGTCAAAGCCCCGACTGTAACACGAGCCCAAAAATAGTCTGGGGACTATTTCTTGAGTATTTTTTGGCCTTTCTGGGGCATTTTTGAGTATTTCTTGAGTATCTTCGAGTATTTTTGGGGCCTTTTTGGCCTATTTCTTGGGGCCTTTTCGGCCTATTTCTTGAGCATTTCTTGAGTGTCTTCGATTTCTCGTCGAAAATCCCCCCTGTAGGGGGACCGGCCCGACGTGACACGAGCCCCAGGGACGTGCTCCCGCGACGGCGGGCCGACGCCGCCGCGGCCCCCGCCGCGCGGCGCGGGACGATAGGGCGCGCGGCCCTGCCCGCGGCGCCTGCCGCCTGCGCTTCTCTCGGCCTGTCCACGGGCGGGTCGGCGGAGGAGGCCTTCGGGGCCCTCGGGCGACCTTCGCTGGCCCGTGCCCACAGAACGGAGGAGGAGGAGGAGGAGGAGGAGGAGGAGGAGGAGGAGGAGGAGGAGGAGGAGGCGGAGGAGGAGGAGGAGGAGGAGGAGATGAGAGGAGAGGAGAGGAACGCGGGGCGCTGTCTCTTCAAAACGAGGACCCAACACTACAAGATGGTTGGGAAATGATCCATAGTCACGCTCCTGAGGCCACGATCCCTCGTAATTTACATGATACCGGAGAAAAAACCCAATCAGGGCTATAGGGCCAGGGGGCTATAGGGCTATAGGGCTATAGGGCTAGTGAGCTATGGGGCTATAGAGCTATAGGGCTATAGAGTTGTAGGTCTATAGGGCTATGGGGCTATAGAGTTGTTGTTGTAGGAGGAGGAGGAGGAGGAGGAGGAGGAGGAGGAGGAGGAGGAGGAGGAGGAGGAGGAGGAGGAGGAGGAGGAGGAGGAGGGGGAGGAGAGGCAAGGAGGGAGAGGTCGGCGACGAGGCTTTCGGGGCCCCGGGCGACCTGCTGGCCCGTGCCCACAGAGCGCCCGCGGGGAGCAGCTCGGCGTGCGCCCCCTGGCGGAGGCGTCGGGGCCTCGGGGCATCGGTGCGTGGTGGCTGCGCCGCGCTGGCTCTCCTGTCCCCGCCCGCCCTTCCCCCGCTTTTTCCCCCTCTGGCTCTTCTGAGGTCCGCGCGTCCCATCGCCCGCAAGGACACCAGGTACGCGCGGCGTGTGTCCAGCTCCACGGGCTCGCCCATGGCAGTCTGATCCGCGCAGCGCTCCCGGCTTGCCTGGGCACGTCGCCCCGTCCTCGGGCGCGGGGGCATGACATCGCCCTGGGATTTGGGCTCGGGCCGCACGGCGGCCCCCCTGGCGGTGGTGGAAAGGCGGGGTCCTGAGGGATGGGGTCCTCAGGACGAGCGGCACCCTTGAACCCCTTCCTGTCCGTAGGACCCCATGACTCAGGGCCCTATCTTTGACCCGCCGGCCTGTTCCAGATGTGGGTTCCGCCCATGCGGTGGGGGCATTCGGTTGCGCGCCCGGCCGGGCGTGAGTCGCCCGGGGTGTTGCTCTCGAGGCGGCCAGGTGAGTGCTGCTCTTGAGGCGGTCCCTGTTTCATGTTCGGCTCCTCTTGCTCCGCGGCCGTCTTCTGCTTTCCCGCTCGCTCCAGTGCGCTCAGTGTCCAGCGCGGCCCGTCGGCTTTGCAGTCGCGTTCGCGTCCGCCAGCGCTGCGAGCATGACGCGGCGGCGAGCGAAGGGGTGAAGTGAGAAGGAGAAGGCCCTCTCATAAGGCGGCGGGGCTTCTCAGAAGCCCTCGGGCCTTTGAGGAGTTTTCCGTTTCTTCGGGGAAGATTTCGAAAACTTCTCAGAAGGCTGGGGGACTTCCAAGCCTTTTGAGAAGGCCTTCTCCTTCTCACTTCCCCCCCTCTCGCTCGCCGCCGAAAGACAAGTCCATCTCCGGCCCGAGGGGTGCTGCTCCAGAGACGGTTCCCGTGGCCGCGGGCTGCTGCTCCCCAGGTGGTCTCCCTGCTTCCCGCGGCGGGGGTCGCGCTGCAGGCCCTGGAGGCCGTGCCCAGGCCGTAGCATAGACGCGTTGAGCCATAGCGAAAAGCCATCGTGCATCAGCAGTATCATCGTCGTCGTCGGCATCATCATCATCATCACCATCATTAGCATTCTCATCTTCCTGCTCGTCATCATCACCATCGTCACCATCACCATCCTCATCATCATCATCATCATCATCATCATCATCATCATCACCATCATCATCATCATCATCACCACCACCACCATCATCAGCATCATCATCATCATCACCATCATCATCATCATCATCATCATCATCATCATCATCATCATCATCATCATCATCATCATCATCATCATCATCATCATCATCATCATCATCATCATCATCATCATCATCATCATCATCATCATCATCATCATCATCATCATCATCATCATCATCATCATCATCATCATCATCATCATCATCATCATCACCACCACCACCACCATCATCATCATCATCATGATCATCATCATCATCATCATCATCATCATCATCATCATCATCATCATCATCATCATCATCATCATCATCATCATCATCATCATCGCCAGCATCATCACCAGCATCATCACCAGCACCATCACCATTGTCACCAGCAGCATCACCAGCAGCATCATCAGCATCATTATCACCATCAGCATCAGCATCTCAGCATCCGTAGCCACCTTCGCTCACGGGAGGCAGGGCAGCGACAGCGAGGGCCCTTGCCCCTCGCCGCAGGGCCGCGGGGCGCGGCCATGGCGCGCCCGCGCGTGTGCGTCATCGGGGGGGGCGCGTCGGGGCTCACCACCATCAAGCAGCTCAAGGACCAGGGCATCACCGACGTCGAGTGCTTCGAGAAGGAGGACGAGGTCGGCGGCATCTTCTTGCATGGGTCGTCCAAGAACGGCGTCTACGACAACTGCGTTCTCACCATCAGCAACTACATGATGGCCTTCTCGGACATGCCTCCCTCGGGCCACCGCTACCACTGGCACCACAGCGAGTACCGGGACTACCTGTGCGAGTACGCCCGGGTGCACGACCTCAGGAGGCACGTGTGGAGGGTTTCTCCGAAGGGCTTAGGCGACCCGTCCTCTCCCTCCTCCTACTCCTCCTCCTCCATCTCCTCCTCCTCCTCATCCTCCTCCTACACCTTCTCCTCCTCCTCCTCCTCGGGGTTGCCTGCGGCCCCGGGGGAAACCGTCCAGGCACGTGAGCTTCGGCACCTCGGTGCTCAGCGTGGAGGGCGAGCCCGGCAGGTGGCACGTCGTTGTGCAGTCACGAGACGGCCATGCCATCGACAAGGGCATCTACGATGCCGTCGTCATATGTTCCGGTGCGCACCAGGCGGTGAACATGCCGGCTCTCCCGGGCATGGACGCGTTCGCGGGCAGGGTGGTCCACAGCAGCGAGTACAAGAACAACGCGGAGTTTGTTGGCAGGGACTGCGTCTGCGTTGGGCTCGGCGAGAGCGGCGCGGACATCGTCCGGGAGATCTCGGACGTGGCCAGGTCAACGGTGCTGGCGCTGCGGAGCTACCCGTACTTGATTCCACGTCTGATCCGGCCCTTCCACACGAACGAGATGGGCTGCTCCTCAGATGCTTTCACGTCACACCTCCGGCACGACCTGCTCAACGTGCCCCTCTGCCATTACCGTAGCTTTCTGCACCTTCTCAACAGGGTGATGTGCACTCTGGCCGCGATTCTCTTCTGGTTCTTCCCATCGTTGGGCGTGGACGGACGCGGGCCTACGACCGACGCGTTCCATCAGGAAGTGTCTGCAGGGTATCTGGACAAGGACACGCCCCACTCGCGCCTGGCGGCGAAGCTGATATTTCAGTTCTGCAACTTCTCCGGCCAGGCCGAGCGGGGCCAGAAATTCGCGTGCAAGAACGTGATGTTTGTGCAGAACATCGTGGAGGGGAAGATCACGTACAATGTCACCGGCATCAGCCGCGTGGAGCGAGACCGCGTGGTCCTCGGTGACGGCACGCAGGTGCCGTGCGACGTCCTGGTGATGTGCACGGGCTACAAGGACGTGTTCCCGTTCCTGCGCGGCACCGTGGGCCAGAGATCGATGACCCCGCTGGGCGTTCCCGAGGGCAACGTGCGGAAGCTCTTCAAGCACATCTTCCACCCGGAGATTGGGCCAAGCATGGCTTGGGTCGGCTTCGTCCGGCCGTCGACCGGAGGCATACCGGCCTGCGCGGAGATGGCCGCACGCTACCTCGCGCTCGTGCTCGCTGGCCACAGGACCCTTCCCAAGAACGTGGCCGAGCTCACGGAGGCCGACTACGAGCTGGACACGGAGTTCTACAGCCTGTCTCCCGACGTGAAGACCCTCGTGGGCTACAAGGACTGGATGGACTCCATGGCGCAGCTGATCGGCTGCGAGGTCCGCCTCTGGAAGTACCTGGCGCACCCGAGGCTCTTCGTGCGCCTCTGCATCGGCTCGCTGCTGCCTTCGCAGTATCGCCTGTCTGGCCCTGGCGCGTTGCCAGAGCTCGCGAAGGCGACCATCCTGTCCGTCCCCGTCGCACCTACCGCCAGGCATCAGCCACGCGCAGAGGGGGGTGGGGAGAGGGGGGAGGGCTTCTTAGAAGCACCACTGCTTCTTAGAAGGCGCGGGCCTCGTCTCTAGATGCAAGGCCGGCCCCTTCTAAGAAGCAGACTCCTTCTAAGAAGCCTTCCCCCCCTCCCTCCACCCCCTTGTGCGCGCCGCCAAAGGCAGTCCCTGGACGAGGCCCGCAGGGCCTGGCTGCGGCACCTCAGCCCTGCCAAGGCCCGGCTCTCCTCCGAGGGGTGCCACGGCGGCGCCCGAGGAGCCCGCGCCTGGCGTGGCGCGCGGTGACGCCCCGGCGCGCGCGCACGCGCCCCGCGCGGTCCCTCGGCAGCCGCCCAGGGCGGGGGGGGCCATTCAGCGGAGGACGAGCTCATCGAGGAAGGATCAAGCGTTAGACTTATGGTGCTCGTCCGTGGACTTCTCTCGCTCGCTTCTGTTTCCACGCCGCTCGGTAGCGCGTAGTTGCCAGGTGCTTGGAAGCGCGAGGTGTTTTTTGTGTACTGGCCGACGCCAGGAGCAGCGCGACAGCACATGAGGAGCGTATCTTTGTTGGCTGCCTGCATCGGCATCATCATCATCATCATCATCATCATCATCATCATCATCATCATCATCATCATCATCATCATCATCATCATCATCATCATCATCATCAGCATCAGCATCAGCATCAGCATCAGCATCAGCATCAGCATCAGCATCAGCATCAGCATCAGCATCAGCACCATCACCGTCAACGCTTGTGCCGCCGTCAGGGCTGCGCCAGGTTCGCATCACGGCCACGCAGTGAGAGCTTGGTAGCACAGGTTTGACAAGACTTCGGCCTGGGCAGGTCGGACATCATCAATCAGCATCGTCATCAGCAGCAGCAGCACCACCATCATCATCATCATCATCATCATCATCATCATCATTATCATCTTCTTCTTCATACTCATCATCATTATCGTCATTATCATCACCATCCTCATTATCGTCATCATCATTATCATCATCATCATCATCATCGTAACCATCATCATCATTCCCATCATCATGATTATCACCATCGCCATCATCACCATCATCACCGTCATTCTCATCGCCATCGCCATCATCACCAGCAACATCATCATCATCGTCGTCATCATCGCCATCGCCATTATCACCGTCATCGTCATCGTCATCGTCATCGCCATCGCCATCATCATTATCATCATCATCCTCATTCTCATCATCATCATCATCATCGCCGTCGCCATCATCACCATCATCAACACCATCTTCATCATCCTCATCATCCCCATTCTTATTATCATGACCATCACCACCATCATCATCATCATCATCATCATCATCGTCGTCATCATCATAGCCATCGCCATCGCCACCGTAATCGTCATGATCATCGTCATCATCATCATCATCAACATCATCATCGTAACCATCATCATCATCACCATCATCATCATCACCACCACCCTCGCCATCATCACCATCATCACCGTCAGCATCACCATCGCCATCGCCATCATCACCAACAACATCAGCACCACCATCATCATCGTCACCCTCATCGTCATCGCCATCGCCATCATCAGCATCGTCATTGTCATCATCAGCGCCATCGCCATCATCACCATCGTCAGCATCATCTCCATCATCCTCATCATTCTCACCTCGTCATCATGACCATCATTACCATTACCATTACCATCACCATCATCATCACCATCATCATCATCATCGTCGTCGTCATTGCCATAGCCATCGCCACCGTAATCGTCATCATCATCGTCATCATCACCAGCATCATCATCACCATCATCATCAGCATCATCATTATCATCGTCGTCGTCATAATCGTCGTCATCATCATCACTACATCATCACGATCGTCATCATTACAATCATCATCAACACCATCATCACCATCACCATCGCCAGCACAATCACCACCACCATCACCATCACCATCACCATTACCGTCATCATCACCATCACCATCACCATGACCATCATCTACACCATCACCATCGCCATCGCCATCACCATCACCATCACCATCACCATCACCATCACCATCACCATCACCATCACCATCACCATCACCATCACCATCACCATCACCATCACCATCACCATCACCATCACCGTCACCGTCACCGTCACCGTCACCGTCACCATCACCATCACCATCAGCATCACCAGCACCAGCACCAGCACCAGCACCAGTACCATCCGAGGCAACACCATCATCAGTACATAAAGCATAGGCATCAGTTGCCATCAGCAGCAGGACGTGGCAGCGGCAACCGCATCTTCGGCGGCGCATGTCGACGGGGCGGCGTGCGCCGCGACCCTCCTCGTCCTTCCCTCCTCCTCCTCCTCCTCCTCCTCCTCCTCCTCCTCCTCCTCCTCCTCCTCCTCCTCCTCCTCCTCCTCCTCCTCCTCCCCCTCCTCCTGGCCGTTGGCCGTTGGTGGCCTCGCCGCCACGCTCGCGCGCTCGCTGAGTGGCGCGCCCGACGCGTCACCCGCGCGCCTCCGATGGGGGCGCGCCTGGAAAACGCGGGGCCCAGCCCTCGCGGGGCGCCGACGGCGGGGGCGGCAGCCTCGCGGCGCGGCGGGCCAGCAACGCGCTGAGGAGGAGGAGGAGGAGGAGGAGGAGGAGGAGGAGGAGGAGGAGGAGGAGGAGGAGAGGAGATTGCGATTGAGGAGGAGGAGGAGGAGGAGGAGGAGGAGGAGGAGGAGGAGGATGAGGAGGAGGAGGAGGAGGAGGAGGAGGCGGATGAGGAAAAGGTAGGAGCAGGAGGAGGAGGAGGAGGAGGAGGAGGAGGAGGAGGAGGAGGAGGAGAGAGAAGGATGAGGAGGAGGAGGAGGAGGAGAAGGAGGGCGGAGGATGAGGAGGAGGAGGAGGAGGAGGAGGAGGAGGAGGAGGAGGAGGAGGAGGAGGAGGAGGAGAAGGGGGAGGAGGAGGAGGAGGAGGAGGAGTTGGATGAGGAGGAGGTTGAGGAGGAGGAGAAGGAGGAGAGGAGGAGGAGGGAGGAGGAGGAGGGAGGAGGAGGAGGAGGTTGAGGAGGAGGAAGAGGATGACGAGGAGGAGGATGAGGGAGGAGGAGGAGGATGAGGAGGATGATGATGATGATGATGAGGAGGAGGAAACGGTAGGGGCAGGAGGAGGAGGAGGAGGGAGGAGGAGGAGGAGGAGGAGGGAGGAGGATGAGGAGGGCGGAGGAGGAGGAGGAGGAGGAGGAGAGGAGAGGAGGAGGAGGAGGAGGAGGAGGGAGGAGGAGGGAGGAGGAGGAGGAGGAGGAGGAGTTGGAGGAGGATGAGGAGGAGGAGGAGGAGGAGGAGGGGGAGGAGGAGGAGGAGGAGGAAGAGGAGGAGGAGGAGGAGGAGGAGGAGGAGGAGAGGGCGGATGAGGATGAGGAGGAGGAGGAGGCGGAGGAGGAGGAGGAGGATGAGGAGGAGCAGGAGGAAAACTATTATTCATAATAATAATAATACTAATTATTATATTTTTTAATAATAGTGATAATAAAAAGACTACTACTAATAATAATAATAAGAAGGAGAATAATACTACTAATAATAGCAATAATAATACGAAGAATAATAGTAAGAAGAAAAACAACACTAGACTAATATTAATAATCATAATGCTAATAATAATAATGATGATAAGAATACTAGACGAATCATACTACTACTAATTATAATATTAATCAGAACTACTACTACTTATATTATTATTAAGAAGAAGACTATACTAATAATAATAAGAATACCAAGACGAAGATTATGATTATAACTAATAATACTATTAATAATACTAGTACTAATAATAATACTAATAATAATTTTACTAATACTGATACTAATAATAATACTATTAATAATAATAATGCTACTACTACTACTAATAATAATACTACTAGTAATAATAATAATATTAATATTAACATTAATAATAATACTACTACTCATAATAATAATGATAATACTAATACTACTAATACTACTAATAATAATATTAATAATATTAATATTTTAATTTTAATTTCAATAATGATTTTAATAATAATACTAATACTAATAAGAATAATAAGAGGAGGCGGAGGAGGAGGAGGAGGAAACGGTCGGAGGAGGATGAGGAGGGCGGAGGAGGAGGCGGCGGAGGAGGAGGAAGAGGCGAGGAGCGGAGGAGGAGGAGGAGGAGGAGGAGGAACAGGTAGGAGCAGGAGGAGGAGGAGGAGGAGGAAGAGGAGGAGGAGGAGGAGGAGGATGAGGAGGAGGAGGAGGAGGAGGAGTTGGAGGAGGAGGAGGAGGAGGAGGAGGAGGAGGAGGAGAATGAGGAGGAGGAGGAGGAGGAGGAGGCGAGGGCGGAGGAGGAGGAGGAGGAGGATGAGGCGGAGGAGGAGGAGGAGGAGGAGGAGGAGGAGGAGCAGGAGGAAAACTATTATTCATACTAATATTTTTTCTTAAAAAATAATAATACTGATAATAATCAGACTACTACTACTACTACTAATAATATTAAGAAGAAGAAGAATAATACTAATAATAACAATAATAATACGAAGAATTATAATACGAAGAAGACTAAGAATATATTAATCATATGAATCATAATGCTAATAATAGCAAGGATAATAATAATAAGACGAACCATACTAATAATAGTTATATTAATAACAAGAAAAAGACTTTAATAGTAATAATAATAATAAGAATACCAAGAATAATATTATTAATACTAATACTAAGAATAACAATCATACTACTACTACTACTACTAATAGTAATAATAATACTAATACTAATACTACTACTAATGATAATATTAATACCTTTAAGCCTAATTTTAATATTTTTTTTTAAATAATAATACCAATAATAATCATACTAATACTAAAAATAATAACAATAAGAATAATACGAGGAGGCGGAGGAGGAGGAGGAAACGGTCGGAGGAGGAGGAGGAGGAAGAAGAGGAGGAGGAGGAGGAGAAGGAGGAGGGGGAGGAGGAGGAGGAGGAGGAGGAGGAAACACACCATCTTGTGACATCCTGCTCACAGTCATCATTGTGTTCCTCCCCAAGCCCACGGGCGGAGTCCGCCCCATGTGGCTCCTCAGTTCAGTTGCCCGTAATTGGAGCAGGGTGCGTCAGAGAGAAGTCCGTCGGTGGGAGAATCAGGTCGACAATTCCTCGTTCTGGGGTAAGGGTTCTTCTGCTTCGGCGGGGAGGGCCAGTTACATTCATAACCTTCTCGTATGCCATGCTCGTCGTAAAAAAGGCTAGTATCCATTTCCGTGTTTTCGACATTGCGAAATTCGACGAGAATATCTCGCACGAAGAGCTTAGACGTACGGGGGCCCACTTCGGTTTCGACCTCGGGCTCCTCAAGGCTCTCTGCACACTCTACAGGTCCCCGAGGCATGCCAGATGGGGGGTCAGTACGAGTGAGCAGACCACGGCGAACGGCACGGTCATAGCGGGATGTTCGTGCGCGACGGGGGTCTCCAAGTTGATGCTCCTTTCGGTCTTGGGCAGTCTGGCTCGGGAGGTCCCACCCTGTAGGACGGTTAACGTGATCGACGACCTGACGGGCCACATCATTGGGGGTCCAGGGACGGCGGTCAAAGCTGCAGGTCAGGTTTGTGCTCTGGTACAACAGGGCACGGAGGAGGTCAAGTTGCCGATTTCTTGGGATAAATGTTTTTGGCTCGGCTCGGGGCCGCACTTGGTTCAGAACGTCTTGGAGTCGGAGGGCTTCTGTCTTGGGGTGAACAAGTGCGTCTTGGCCCACAGGGACCTCGGATGGGGACTCGAACAGCGGTCAGCGGAGGCGTCTTGGGACTCAACTCACCCGAGCTCAGGAGGCCAAGAAGATGGGTGCCCTTCTGTCTATGTTTGGCTCAGGTTCTATCGTGTCCAGAATCTTCAGAGCGGAACCCCTCGCCAAGTCCATCTGGGGCACGGCCAACCTCGGCATTTCCGATACTTCATTGCGACAGCTTCGTGTTAGTGCAGCTCGAGCGGTTGGAGGAGTTCCTCGAGGAGCCAGCATCGGGTTTCGTTTCTTGGGGTACCCATCGGCGTGGCGCAGAGATCCGATTGTGGTCACGGCGGCGCTGTGCATTCGTGAGTTCGTACACGTGGTTTGGCACAAGTCAGTGTCGAACGAGGTTCTTCAGAGCGGCTTCGAGGACGCTCAGCGCATTCTCACTCTGGCCAAGCCGTGGGCGGCGGTGAAGCAACCAGTGGCGGCGTTGGTGCTCACACTTCGTCGCCTAGGCTGGGCCCTCGACATGGAGACGGAGTCCTTCCGCGATGATGTCGGCAGGATCTGGCCTTTTTTTCGGAAGTTCTCGCTAGCGTTCTTTGCACATTTGATTCAAGCTGGGGCCAGGAGGGCCATCGAGTGGGATGAGCAGGCCAGGCAATCTGTGTTCAAGTTCTGGAAGGGGCCGATCTTCTGGGCTCCGCTGTATGAGTTGCCCTGCCAGAAGAATGTTACAGGTTGGCATGACCATCAGAAAAGTTGTCTCAAGGTGATGATTGCTAGTGTGTACTGGAGTCAGGAGAGGATCAACTCACACGCCAAGGAAGTTTCATGTTTGTGTTTGCTTTGTAAGGGCGAGCCTGGCACTACTTCCCATCGTCGTTTCGAATGTCCAGCTCATGCAGTGTGGAGGCGTGAGAATCCAGATGACTGGGTTCGGACTGCAGCGGGACGAATATCCACATTGTCTCTGGAGGACCATGAGCTTTTCTGCAGAGGCCTCTTTCCAGATCCTGGGAGGTTCATTTCTCGGCCCGAGAGGTGTGCGGAGGACCCCTACACGCAGAGGATCAACTGGCCGCGGGAGGGCATCGTGATTCAGGCCGATCAGCACGTGTACACTGACGGATCTGGGTATGAGATGTTTTGGCCCTCTTTGAGGATGGCAAGATGGTCTGTTGTTTTATCTGACTGCAGCGGGGAAGTGGTCTCGGCTCTTCATGGTGTGGTGTCGATAACGGAGGCGCCAAACCAGATTGCGAGGGACGGTGAAGATTACGCGGTTCTGATGTTGTCGAGGAATGCGGCAGTTGCCCCTGGAGCCTCAATACACATAGACTGTTCTGGCACTCTGGGTTGTTCTCGGCTCTTGGGTAGTTCGGAGCTGTCTTGGGCCAAGGAACAGAGGGCCCATTGGTGGAGTGAGATTGGCGATCGGCTTCAGGGTGCTTGCTTTGTCAAAGTGAAGTCTCACATGCCCTACTCGGCGGTGCGTGAAGATAAGACCTGCCACAGAGACTGGAGAGGAAACCAGGGGGCGGATCGTCTTGCCAAGGAGGGTGCTGGACCGTTTCGAGCAGCAGATGAGGACTTGCTATTGCTGGGTGGTTTGCATGCGATTGCGAAGAAAGTCGCCAGGTTTGGCGCGTTACAGCAGGCTTTTTTGTCCCACGAGGAGAACAGGGATCACGTGTGTTTCGAGTGGATGAGTAAAATCGAGTTGGTGCCCTTGGAAGGTCTCCCTATTCCTGCCTGCTGTGCCCATGGAGATCCCGATGAGAAGGACCCCGATGTTTTGGGGTCAGATGAGTTTGTCTCGGAGTCTTGGGCTTGGGATAGGCACTACATTCGTAAGGCGGCAGTTTTTGAGGACGGAGCTCAGGTCGACTCGAGGATTTTCTGCACGAGTTGTGGAAGCTATGTTTCTTGGGCGCGCAGGGCTCACTCTAAGTCCCGGTGTAAGTTACGTTCGACATGTTGTCCCAGGACAGTAACGGGTACTCGGAATCTGGGGAGGATCGAGAAAGGATTGCATGCGTTGACGTCCACCAGCCTCAAGGTTCAGGAGGTTGGCGGTCTGAATCAGATCGAGAAGGACCTGTGGCGGCCCTTCCTTGAGGACTCGGGCGAGTCCAGGAGGAGTGAGGGCCCTGCCGCCGCTCGCCTGTCGAATTCGAGGTTTCGAATGAGGAGCGAGGCCCCTGTGATCGACCTGGTCCGTGGTCTGGCCCTTTTCGGCCTCTCGAGGGATGAAGCGATTTCCCTGGGCCGTTTGGCCCGCGAGCGGGCCCGCTCCCGTTCCGTGGAGGAGGATGAGCTCTTCCCCGATGGGCCTTGACGGCCCGCGCCCGTTTTTGGCGCTGCCCGTCGCCCCCCTCGCGGCCTGGGCCCTTCCCCCCCTCTTTGCACGCGAATGTGGTAGCACCTTTTTCAGCTGTAGAGCTAGCGAGGAGGAGGAGGAGGAGGAGGAGGAGGAGGAGGAGGAGGAGGAGGAGGAGGAGGAGGAGGAGGAGGAGGAGGAGGAGGAGGAGGAGGAGGAGGAGGAGAGGAGGAGGAGGAGGAGGGGGAGGAGGAGGAGGAGGAGGAGGAGGAGGAGGAGGAGGAGGAGGAGGATGATGATGATGATGATGATGATGATGATGATGATGATGGTGATGATTTGGGAGGAGGAGGGAGGAGGAGGAGGAGGAGGAGGAGGAGAGGAGGAGGAGGTGGAGGAAAACCAGAAAGAGGAGGGCGAAGAGGAGGGCGGAGGAGGAGGAGGAGGAGGAGGAGGAGGAGGAGGAGGAGGAGGAGGAGGCCGAGGAGGAGGAGGAGGAGGAGGAGGAGGAGGAGGAGGAAAAGGAGGAGGAGGAGGAAGAGGAGGAGGAGGAGGAAGGGACGTGGGCGCGCACCCGATATGTCACCCGCGTCGGGGCGTTTGCCCGCCCGCTCGGCAGAGCCTGGCCGTCGGTCACGCAAGCCGGCCCCGCCGCGAAGCCCGGCCGCGTGGGCCTGCCTGCTCGCGCCCGGCCGAGTCGGCGAGGGCTCCTCGGCCCGCGCTCTCTCCCGCAGCCCGCGGAGGTAACAGCCCCGCTGGGCTCCTCCGTCCCTGTTGTGCGCGGGCTTGGCTTATAAATCGGGCATGTCCCTCCGCAGGAGGAATATCTTCAGAAACAGTCAAACAATAGTCAGGGACGATTTTTGAACTATAGTTTTGACCGTATCTTGGAAATGGCAAAAACAAGCGCCGCGCCGGTCCCCCCACCCCCCACCCCCCTGATGCGCAGCTGAGGAGACCGACAAGAGACGACGGCAATGGACCTCGTCGGTGACGTTTTCGCGTCGCTTCGTTGCTCAGCTTTGCGTCGCTGGGGGGAGGGGGTGGCGCGGGCTGCGCGTCCGCCCTGGCGCGGCGACAGATCCGGCTACCGCCGCATGGGCGCGCCGCGGTTTCCGCGTCGATCGCCTCCCGAGTGGCGCAGTGGGAGGCAGCGCGGTCAGAAACTCTTAGCACCCGGCAAGTATTCTTGAATATTTTCGGACTCTTCTCTATTCTTCTTTTTTATTCGGCAAGGCTACCTCAAAGGTGTCTCAAGACCGCTGTGAATTATCAACGATACTCTCAAATCGGCCCCTCAAGGGCGCGAAATGGAGCAGCAAATTTGCGTGACTCTAAAAAGTTTTAGAGTAGGGGGACATGCCCGCCCTAAGGCTTCGCAGGCCCCCGCCCATCCTTGGAGCCCGCGCGCCGGCGGGCGCGCCAGCCAGCGCGCAGTCGGCGGCCGGAGCGCCTGCGGCCCCGCGCCCCCCCCCCGTTCGGCCGGAGGCCCCGACGCCGCGCGCGCTGGCGCCGCGCGGCCGTGCTCCCGGTGCGGCGGGGTGCAGCTGATCCCGCTGGAGGCCGTGCCGCGGGGCGGCTCCTCCTCCTCCTCCTCCTCCTCCTCCTCCTCCTCCTCTTCCTCCTCCGCCTTCTCCTCCTCCTCCTCCTCCTCCTCCTCCTGACCTCCTCATCTTCCTGCTCCTCGTCCTCCTCCTCCCTCCTCCTCCTCCTCCTCCTCCTCCTCCTCCCCCCCCTTCCCCTCCTCCTCCTCCTCTCCTCCTCCCTCTTTTCTTTTCTCTTCCTCCTCCTCTTCCTCCCCCTCCTCCCCCCCTCCCCTTGTCCTCATCTTTTTTCTCCTCCTTCTACTCCTCCGCCTCTTCCTCCTCCTCCTCCTCTTCCTCCTCCTCCTCCTTCCTCCTCCTCCTTCTGCTCCTGCTCCTGCTCTTCTTCCTCCTCCTCCTCCTCCTCCTCCTTACAGGTAACTCCTCCTTGTCGCACTCCGAGGCCAGTTTTTAGGGTCGGGCAGGGCGTTTCGCCTGAGACTTCCTCACCATGATTCTGAAGCCGCAAAAGTGGCATCTGTTTCACAAATGGGGGGCGGTAGGTTTTCAAAATGTGGCTCGGCTCTCGCCTTAGCGCCGCGCGCATTCGTTTTCAAAATTTGCAAGAGTTTCACATATTGAGGGCGGGTCGTTTTTAAAATGTGGTTCTCGTTTTAGCGCCGCTCGCATTCGTTTTAAACATTTGCAAGAGTTTCACGGGTTGAGGGCGGGTGGTTTTCAAAATGTGGTTCTCGCCTTAGCGCCGCGCACAGTCGCTTTCAAAATTGGCAAGCGTTTCGCGGATTGAGGGCGGGACATTTTCAATATGTGGTTCTCGCCTTCGCGACGCGCACATTCGTCTTCAAACTCTGCAAGGGTTTCACGGATTGCGGGCGGGTGGTTTTCAAAATGTGGCTCTCGCCTTCGCGCCGCGCACACTCGTTGTAAACCTTTGCAGGAGTTTCACATTCGTTTTCGAACTCTGCAAGGGTTTCAAGGATTGCGGGCGGGTGGTTTTCCAAACGTGGCTCTCGCTTTAGCGCTGCGCGCATTTTCAAAACAAACATTGCAAGCGTTCCACGGGTGGGAGGCGGGCCATTTTCGAAATGTGGCTCTCGCCCCAGCGCCGCGCTCATTCGTTTTCAAATTGTGCAAGAGCTTCACGGATTGAGGGCGGGTGGTTTTCAAAATGTGGCTGTCGCCTTTGCTCGCGCACACACTTTTTAAACATGTGTAACCGTTTCACGGATTGAGGGCGGGTCGTTTTCAAAATGTGGCTTTCGCTAAAGCGCTACGCACATTCTTTGCAAACGTTGCAATCGTTTCGCGGATTCCAGTGGTCAGCGTACCAGAAATGGTGTTTTGGAAGGGTTCAGGATCACGCGGGTGTAACAGTTATGTTGATTCGCGGTGCTGAAGTCCAAACATGGCGCTCTGGCGCGATTCTGGATCGTTAAGAAGCAGCAGTAAGGTTGGTATGTGGCGTTGAAATCCCGAGAACAACGTTTTGGCATGCTTCAGGATCTTCAAACGGTTGTTTTCCAACGAGGCAGTTCTTTCAATGAAAATGAACTGTTGTGGGGGCCTGTGAAGGAGCTCGGATGGAGGGTTGCTTCCAACATCGTTGACGACTCTTGGTTTTGCACTGGTCCTCCTCCTCTTCCTCCCCTTCCATTCCTTCTCCTTATAGGTAACTCCTCCCTGTCGCACCCCGAGGCCAGTTTTTAGGGCGGGCCGGGCGTTTCGCCTGAGACGTCCTCACCATTTATTGCTCTGAAGCTTGAAAAGTGACAACGGTTTCACAGATGGAGGGCGGGTCGTTTCCAAAATGTGGCTCTCGCCTTAGCGCCGCGCACATTCGTTTTCAACATTTGCAAGAGTTTCGCGGATTGAGGGCGGGTCGTTTTCAAAACGGATGCCCATGATCAGCGTACCACAAATGTGTTTTGTAAGGATTCAGGATTATGCGGGTGCTGCAGTTATGTTGATTCGCGGTGTTGAAGTCCCAAACATGGCGCTCGGGCGCGGTTCCGGATCGTCAAGGCGCAGCAGTCAGGTTGATGCGTGGCGTTGAAATCCCGAGAACAATGTTTTGGCATGCCTCAGGATCTTCAAACGGTTGTTTTCCAACGATGCAGCTCCCTCAATGGAAATGAACCGTTGTGGGGGCCTACGAAGAGGGAGCTTGGAGGGAGGGTTGATTCCAACATCTTTGATGACTCTTGGTCTTTCACTGGTCCTCCTCCTCCTCCTCCTCCTCCACCTCCCCCTCCATCTCCTCCTCCTCCTCCTCCTCCCACTCCTCCCGCTTCTCCTCCTTCTCCTCCTGCTTCTTCTCCTCCTCCTCCTGCTCCTCATCCTCCCCCCCCTTCTCTTCCTCCTCCTCCTCCGTCTCCTCTTCCTCCTCCTCCTCCTCCCTCCTCCTCCTCCTCCTCCTCCTCTTTCTCCTCCTCCTCCTCCTCCTCCTTCCCCTTCTCCTCCTCCTTCTCATCTTCCTCCTCCTTGTCCTTCTCCCCCTCCTCCTCCTGTTCTTCTTCCTCCCCCTTTTTTGTTACGTTTGGCAAACATGAGTATCGTAGCTTTTGCGTTCGCGTGGCGAAGAACAACCGATTCAGGCATATCGCCAAACAGTGAATTCGGCAGAGGGCGTGTGCAGAGCAGGAAGTGCATGACAAGTCCTGGCGCAGCAGGGAAGCCCGGAAGGGCACAGAGTAACATGCCGACAGCCATGGGGGAGAATGGAGGAAGCTACGTAACATACACAGGGAGGAAACCGTACATGAGATGTCGATATACACGTGCAAGCTGAATCAGTTGTAAAAAAGGCCGGGCTACTTGGCGTTCGTTGTATAATCCCTGTGGTGGTATGAGCCACCCGGGTAGGCTAGACAGCCGTGCAAGGCTTGAGGGCGGCGCAGTGTGGGGTTCCTCCATATCCACCTCCTGACCCGTTAAGCCCATCTCCACCCTGGTGTCTGTCAGGCTGGCTCGGTACGAAGGCTTGAAGTTTGGGATGGGGCAAACTTGAATGTGATGTTTACTTGGAGTCTAGAGGGCAGTGTGAGCTTGGCAATGCTGTAATATACACGTTCGACGTGAAACTGAAAGGCACTAGTCAGCAGACCACAGTGGGGAGTATGCTCACCCCTGTCGATGGTCAACATGACCACTGTAGTGTAATGTGGTCAACTTCCAATCCTCCACCCCTCCCCTACCCACCTCAAGATCCCATCCCACTTGTCTGGGAGGGCGGCAGGTGCAATTGCTGGACGATTGGCTGTAATAATGGGGCAACTTAGAAAGTGGAGTCGGATAGTCATATCATGTCTGGTCTAGGCTGGCAGCGACTGATCAAAGACTACACGCTGGCGCTGTCAGAGCAGGCTGGCCTAGGTGTGAACTAAACTGTCAGTGCGCATGAAAGTTCTGCATAGAAAGTGGGGCGTCGTGTTCAACGAAAATTCATGTGCAGACCATGCCGTCAGTGTTGAGAAGGCGGCGGTGCTGGAGCACAGCCACGGGCGGCATGAGGTCTTCGGGGTATGAGGGCCCGTGTACAGAGGCGTTGGGAGGGGACAGTGTTCCTAGGAACTTAGCGGCGTGCAGTCGAGACTTAGGGTGAAACAAGTACTGGCACTGCTGACTAACAAGCGCTTCTCTTGATCCGCCCGATAGAAACATTCCCCGGCCCATCATCGTTAGTCTGTGAGGCTGTCACAGAGTAAGAACGCCGGCCTGAGGCCTTCGAAATTGAAAATCATCGGGCAAGCGTAGGGTCTGCTGGCAGCCTGATCGTGATTATCTGTAAAGCTGTCACACAATAGGATGGCTGGTGTGTCATCCTCCTCCTTCTCCTTCTCCTCCTCCTCCTCCTCCTCCTCCTCCTCATCCCCCTCCTCCTCTCTCGTCTCTCTCTCTCTCTTTCGTTTATCTCTGTCTGTCTGTCTGTCTGTCTGTCTGTCTGTCTGTCTGTCTGTCTGTCTGTCTGTCTGTCTGTCTGTCTGTCTGTCTGTGTGTCTGTCTGTCTGTCTGTCTGTCTGTTTGTTTGCTTGCTTGCTTGCTTGCTTGCTTGCTTGCTTGTTTGTTTGTCTGTTCTCTCTCCCTCTCTCTCTCTCTTTATCTCTTTCTCTCTCTCTCTCTGTGTTCTCTCTCGCCAACTTCGCGGTCAGGACCAGTTAGTTCCCAGGCAGAAGCAGGAAGGAACGACCGGGGGACGGAGGAAGAGGCGACGAGACGACGAGGTCTCAGAGAGGAGGCCAGAGAAGGTGCAGCTGCAGCACCTGGAGGTAATTCGAGGGTCGGGGATCTGCTGACCTGGGTCAATCCAAACCCGGGTCAGTTAGGCCTTGCAGGATTTTGCAAGATCCTGCACCCAAACCCGGGTCAATGCCAAGGATCCTGCAAGATCCTGCAAGTTCCTGCAGGATCCTGCGCCCAAGCCTGGGTCAGTGCGAGCCTGGCCCTGCAGGATCCTGCAAGACCGGGTGCTCTGGCTGGCCCCCGTTTGCATTGACCCCCGTCTCTTGAGCCCGCGCAGAAGTAGCACTGATGTTCGCGAAGGGTGGGAGACAGGCGAGGTGCTGCAGCTGGCGGTGTAAGTGGACCTGTGCGGGGTACCTCCACCCCCCCGACGGGGGAGGCAGAGCCCTCCTCGGTCTGGCGCTGAATTGGTGGATGGCAGGATGGTGGGGAGGTCAATCGAGCCTCCCTCCTCCTACTTCTCCTCCTCCTCCCAAAAACGCTTATAACTTGGGTGGCTGGGTGAGTGACGAATGCGAGGGTGAGTAATCCGCAGTGGGGCTGCATGCTTGGCTGTGCAGGGGCCCAGGACTGCCTGTCGAACTACGGCGGATGGTGCCTGGGCTTCAATTTCGGCCTCGCGCATGTTCTCCACATTCCTTCTGAGCGTGGTTCCATCATCGGGCTTGGATTGCGCGCCGCAGAGCCCTCACACTCCAGTATGTCGTGAGACACTTCCAGTTCCACCGACTGCTCCACTGCGAAGCCGGCGTGGCCCATGGTTTTGATTTTTCGACCCCTCCGAAGCCATCTCGATCGCCGCTGGAGCGCTCCATGCAGCCGAGCTGCCGCGCGGGCGCGAGAGATGAGGACGGGTGTAAGGCAATAGGCAATCCAGTCACCTCCATTCCGACGTGGTGCCTCTGCTTCCTCTCTTGTTCTTCCTTCTGCAGACGCTGGGTCGTCAGAGACTCGTCGCCTGCGCGTGAGCGTGCGCTTGCTGTGTGTATTCGATTGCGCAGGCGCCTTCGGCGCGTCATACTGCTTCCCTCTCTGCGGAAGCCAGAAGTGTGCAGGGTGTGTGCATGTGAGTGCGCCCGTGCGCGACCTGGGTGAGCGGAAAAGACAGCGGCGTCGGCGTCCTCGTTAGTCCAGGACAGCGGCGGGCCCTCGCAGGAGTGGCGTCCATGGCCCACCAGGCAATTCTGATTCAACAGGCCTTCGCCATTCCAACGACCCGCAGAAAAGGAGGTGTGCGGTTTCCGATTTCGTACGTGTAGTCTGTTGCTTTCCGTCGTGCTGCCTGCGTGTAGTTATTGCGGGTTTGACCCCCTCTTCCTTTGCGTCAGTTGCGGGGCTTCTTGGGGGCCTCTTGGGGGCCTCGTGGGCGACCTCTTGGGACAACCGCCCGGCTGAGAAAAAAAGGCGAAGGAGGAGGAGGAGGCGGAGGAGGAGGATGAGGAGGCGGAGGAGGCGGAGGAGGAGGAGGAGGAGGAGGGGGAGGCGGAGGAGGAGGAGGAGGAGGAGGAGGAGGAGGAGGAGAGGAGGAGGAGGAGGAGGAGGAGGAGGAGGAGGAGAGGAGGAGGAGGAGGGGGAGGAGGAGGAGGAGGAGGAGGAGGAGGAGGAGGAGGAGGAGGAGGAGGGAGGAGGGGGAGGAGGAGGAGGGAGGTGGAGGTGGAGGAGGAAGAGGAGGAGGGAGGAGGCGGAGGAGGAGGATGAGGAGGCGGAGGAGGCGGAGGAGGAGGAGGAGGAAGAGGGGGAGGCGGAGGAGGAGGAGGAGGAGGAGGAGGAGGAGGAGGAGGAGGAGGAGGAGGAGGAGGAGGAGGAGGAGGAGGAGGAGGAGGAGGAGGAGGAGTTGGAGGAGGAGGAGGCGGAGGAGGGGGAGGAGGAGGAGGACAAGCTAGGTGCGCTCGCGTCATATCTGACGTCCTACCCCTCCCTCCCATCCCTTACCATGGCGCTGATTTTCTCTATCCGCGGACGCGTGTCGTAGCGGACCTGTGGCTCCGCGCGCGCGTGCGTAGTGGGTGGTGTTGCGCGTGCGTGCGTGCGTGCGTGTGTGCGTGGTGGTGTGGTGGTGGTGGTGGTGGTGGTGGTGGTGCTGGTGGTGCTGGTGGTGGTTGTGGTGGTGGTGGTGGTGGTGGTGGTGGTGGTGGTGGTGGTGGTGGTGGTGGTGGTGCGGCGCGGTGGTGGCGGGCGGATGGGCGCGCGAGAAAGAGGCCCGCGCTGGGGCGAGAACGCCATCCTGAACGACGGAGGCCAAACGCCGATCCGAAAATGAGGCCCACGCTGCAGCGGGAGCACGATTCGGAACGATTCGGGAGCAGAAATGAGGCCGGCGCCTCAGCGAGAGCAGCATTTTGAAAAAAACGCAGGCGAAAACCCGTTTCCCGGGAATCCTGTGTGTAAAAAACAATACGCGGGGGGGGGTCGGCCATCTTCGGGACGCCATCAGGGGAAGTGGGAGAGTATTTTCATATTGTGTAATTGTGGAGGAGGAGGAGGAGGAGGAGGGAGGAGGAGGAGGAGGAGGAGGAGGAGGAGGAGGAGGAGGAGGAGGAGGAGGAGGAGGAGGGGAGGAGGAGGAGGGGGAGGCGGAGGAGGAGGAGGAGGAGGAGAGGAGGAGGAGGAGGAGGAGGAGGAGGAGGCGGATGAGGATGAGGAGGAGGAGGAGGGAGGAGCAGGAGGAGGAGGAGGAGGAGGAGGGAGGAGGAGGAGGAGGAGGAGGAGTCAAGGCTCCTTGGGGCTTCTTGCGGCCCTCCGGAGGATCCTTGGGGGCCTCCTGGGGGCATCTCGGGGGGCACGTGGGGCGTTTCGGGGGGGCCGTCTTGCGGGGGGGAGGGCCCCGCAGGGCCCCTGTGAGGTTTCCCTCTGGGGCCTCCTGCGGCCCCTCGTGGGGCCTCCTGGAGGGCCGTTAGGAGCATCTTGGACATAGGGGTACGAACAATGACAAGCACATAAAACAAACTCCCATTGAGGTTTGGTCATGGATATCGCCGCCGCTCTCGTCAGACGAGGACCCCCCCAGGGTCTGAAGCCTCCTGGGCGTATTCCATAACCACCGCTCGCACCGTAGGGGAACAAACAATGACAAAAACAAAACAAACTTGGAGGTTCGCGAGGGTTTCTCGCATCGGCGCTCGTACCCCGCTGGCGGCGCCTCTGGCGCCGCCCCTGGCGCGCTCCGCGCGCCAGGGAGGGGGGTCCGCTACGGTGGGGGCACTGGGCAAGGAACCCTTCGATAAGAAGGGTACAAACAATGCCATAAACATAACAACTTGAAGGTTCGCGCGGATTTATCGTATCCGCGCTGGACCCGCGTGGCGGCGCCTCTGGCCGCCGCCCCTGGCGCGCTCCGCGCGCCAGGGAGGGGGGTCCAGCGCCGATCCGAGAGAGCCGCGCGGGCCTTCGAGTGTTTATGCTTATGCTATTTTTTGTAAACAAAAAACTGCAACAACAACAACAAAAAGCATCGCTTCACCAAAGCAACAAGAAAGCTGTAGTAAAGCGGAGAGACGGCTAGTGCAAAACTGCGCGCAGAAATTCCGTTCCTCCCAGCAAATATGGCGCGGGACTCCAGGAACGAGGGCGGGGCGCAAGTTCGCCCCTGGGGCCCTCTTTGGGCCATCCCTGGGCCCTCTTGGGGGGCCCCTTCGGCCGTCTTGAGCCGGCTCGGGGGGGGCTCTCGGGACGTCTCGGGGCTCAGAGTCCCGAGCTGGCGAGAGATTAGGAGCACCATTTCAACGCCCACGGGAACTTCATGATTTTGGTCTGTTGAGGCCGTCTTGTGGGTCCTCTTGGGCCCTCTCCAGGCGTCTTTCAGTCGTCCTGAGGTAACCTTGGATGTTCTGGAGGCTTCTGGAGCCCTTCTTGAGATATTTCAGAGGGCATCTTAGAGGACGTCTTCGGCGGAGGTTCCGAGGGCCCCAGAGTCACGTTGACGAGCTCGTCCCCCCCCCCTCCCCCGTCAAATGGGATTTTGGACCCCAGGTCAGGGGGCAACAGGGAGAGGGGGGACTGCCAGGCCAGCCGCAACTGGGGGAGCTGTGGTCCTTACCCCCCTGGGGGACCCATCGATTTCGACACCCCTCTCGAGAGATCGTCGACGCGATGGGCTCCCCCAGGGGGGTAAGGACCACAGCTCCCCCGGTTATGGCTGGTCGGGGCTGCCCTAACTTATTACACGCCTTACCACCTCCGCAAGCGGGGGTCGGCGGGCCTCGGGACAGTTTCAGGCCTCGGGCGCGCGCGGCGGCGCCAGGTGGCGTCGTTTCCCTGCGAGCGCTGCGGCAACGCCACGCCTGTGCCGGCCTCGCTGCAGCTGGTGGTGTACGAGCTGGCGAGGGGCGCCGTGGAGGACCGCTGGCAGGGTGAGGATGACCAGGACGAGGAGGCAAGATACGCAATGCACAGTGGTTGGAAGCAGGACGGGAGATGCACGGAGTCTAGTGCGTTGTCGTATTTGTTCGCGCTTTTCGGGCACGGCAGGCTTGGGTGCGAGTCAACTAGAACCGTCCGCGAATCCGAGGCACTCTGGCCAGACGTGTCGGCTGCGGCCCCGCCCAGAGCTTTCTGGGGGGGTGCTGTTTCCCCTGGGGCGGTTAATTCAAGCTTCGCGCGGCCCGCTTAGCTTCGACCGGAAGAGGTGCGCTCTCGACCCGCGAATCAAAAAACAACTGTTTCCCCTGGGGCGGCTGCGATGGCGGATGGGCTGGCACGCTCAAATTTGTCTTGCGAGCGTGGCCAGAGCTCTGGCCAGACGTGTCGGCTGCGGCCCCTCAGGGGGGCGCGCTGTCTCCCCTAAGAGTGGCCCCAGACGACGCGCGCTGCCGTGCGACGTGCCCAGCCGCGGTCCGGCCGGGAGCTTTCCCGAGGTGCGCCTGCATCCCCTGCGGTGGTGGTGCTGGTTAGGACACGTGCCCAGGAGGCTGCAGGCCCTGGATGGGGGCCTTCGCCGAGGAGGGTGGCGGTGCTATCCACGGTCCATCCATGATTGGAGCTCCCCTTGCTTCCAGACGCTGGATTCCTTATCCAAGGGTTCCTTGCCCGACTCCCCCCATCGTGCAGTACCGTTTTTAACACATGCTCCTCGTGCGGATCATGTATGAAACATGCAGGGATTTAGTATTTACAACAACGATGAGTTCATGCACAAATTTACTCATAAATTAAGCATGCATTAAAAATCCTATACCTTTAAACATCCGATGTGTTAAAAACTGGCCTGTGGCGGCCCTTGCCCTCGAGGGGGCGACCCGCCGTCGACGCCAGCGGTGGGGCCGCCCTCGGGTCCAGGAGCACAGCGCGGCCGAGCTGCCGGGGCGCGCCGCCCCCCGCGCAGCGCGGGAGGGCAGCCGACGCTGCCCGTCTCCGCCGGTCTGTGCAGAGCGTGCTGCCGGCCCCGCGGCGGCGACGGCCGCGCCACGCGCCCCTGGGAACGACCCGTTCCCCCAAGCGGCCCCGGCCCGCTCCCTCCTCCTCCTCCTCCTCCTCCTCCTCCTCCTCCTCCTCCTCCTCTCGGCCGTCGCTTCGTCGTCTTCTCCGCCCCTCTTGCGTGGTGGCGCAGTTCGCTGAACGGCAGCCCCGTTGCGCTTCCTCGCCAGCGCAGTGCCTCTGCTCAGCCGCCGACCGCCGACGCAGAAAAGTCGGTGTAGAGGGGACGTCGCAACGGTTTGTGCTGGCCTTGCCTGCTGCCCAGGCCTCCGAGGATTCAGTCGAGCATCTGACTGTGAGAAGCCTCCTCCCGAAGAGGAAGGCTGGCCCAGTTTCTCGACCAGCTCGCCGGGAAGCTGGCCCTGTTTCTTGAGCACGCTCGCCCTCCAGCGTCGCATACAGACGCTGGCCCAGGCTTGTTCTCAGAAGACCTTCTGGGAGGATGGCCCATGTTCCTCAGATGACAATTTCTTTAGTCGCGCTTTCTTCGGCCTCCGTGGCCCATCGGACCCTCGGGCAACCAGAAGCGGACTCAGGCGACAAGCGACTCCTGGGGAAGGGGTCGGTCCGTCGAGGGCGGCGGATGGACCCAGTCATGCCGGATGATGTCTGTCAGAAGGGAAAAAACACACAGATACAATTAATCGTCGATTCCCCAGAAAGTATGGGAAAATATGGGAAGTGGGGGGGAAGACAGAAGCCCAGAAAATATGGACAAATATGGAGAATACGTTTATTTGTGTGTATTTATTTGTGTGTCCCAGGGCCCCTTCAGTCTGGGTGCCCGCCCAGTAGGCTTTGCCGGGTTCATGGACTTGGGGGCGCCCGGTTTCGTCCGTGAGGTGCACTTCCGCATTAGGCGGGCGCTGCCGCCAGTGGTGGCGATGCCGAGATTCAGAGTCGCCTCCTCTTCCTATCGTCCGTCCGCCAATTCATATCAACATGTTACTCCCCTGCCAGGCTGTACACTTATGTGTATCGTTTTTTTCCCACCTCTGGTGCAAGGCAAACGTGCTTCTCACACCTCAGCCTTCTGGCTTCAGGAACTCCAGGCGTCAGCTCCCGCATCTGGTTTGTCGCTCCTGGATTTTGCTAGCCGTTTGGCGCCTTTGAAGGCACTCGTGTCGCAGGCGGGCCCTCCTCCACCGAGACGGTGTGTTGACAAAGACCGTCGCTGCTCCCTTGCTACCTGTGAACGTGGGATGCAGCCAGCCGGCACGGGCGAGATTACGACCCCTGATCGTACGCAGACCTTGCCAAGGTTTGCAGGGAGCGGTCAGACCTGCTACGGCGCGGAAGCGTCGGACAAGGCATTCCTCCCGAGGGAGGGGGGGCGGCTGGCGCCCTGGCGCTGGCTCCCAAAGTTCTGGCGCGGAGGAGGAGGAGGAGGAGGGGGAGGAGGAGTAGGAGGAGGAGGAGGAGGAGGAGGAGGAGGAGGAGGAGGAGGAGGGGGAGGAGGAGGAGGGGGAGGGGGAGGAGTCTGTCTGTCTTACCCATTCGAGCTCCACATGTCAGAACTACACTCCGCATGCTCTGGGCCAGTGCTCTTGTCGCCAGATTTCTCTCATTGGGGGTGCTCACGCTCCCGAGAAAAACCCATAACAAATTACGCGGCCAGACGGACTGTAACACAGAAACTTGATATGCTGACAGTCAAACCGCTGTCTAACATACTGAGGGGACTCGGGAACGGTGGAACGGCAGCCAGCGTTTTGCTGGTTTGGCCCCATGCGGGGCGGGCCTTCGGGCATTGAGATAGCACGCAATCCAACCAACTCCTGGACGGCGGGGACACAGAGGCCACTCCCACCACCCACGAGCACAGCAGGGCTACGCACCATCCCGCAGCCCCCCGCAAGTCTACTTCTCGGTCTTTACAAGATGCACAAACTTGCCACAGGGCGCACGACCAGATTTGTTGTTGAAACCTGAGGCCCGAACACGCTGATGCACGATCTGCTCAACCGTCACTGTTTTACCTCCTCCTCCGAAGACAAGCTCAAGGGGGGTGTGGATCATGCGAGCGGCGGCCTTGTCCTTTTCCTCTTTGGCAGCCCCCGCGTCCTCGAGCTTTGCCCACAACTCCTTCTGCTCCCCTGTAAGGTTGACGGCCATGGGCTCGGGGTCTTGGATCAGCATCGAGCCTAGCACCTTCGCCGTGATGTGGCTGCTGCCGCTGTCCTGAGTGTTCGACGTGCCGCATTCCTTGATCCACAGGCTGGCTGTGGGCAAGTCGCACTTCTGCATCATCAGTAGCATTCTGTCTGGGATGTCCTGAAGGTGACGAACTCAGTCTTGCTGCGCGCCCTGCTTCTCGAGCCAGCCGCTGAAACCGCTCAGAAGAGCGGCAAAACTCTGCAACTCTGGAGGTCCCACCCCGTGAGTGTTCGCCTTTCCCTCCACCTTTTTTTCTGATACTCCTGATACGCCATCTTCAGCATGCTGACCTGATCTGCGTCGCTGGGTCCGTATACTGTTAGACCTGCTCCGAACTCCAGCGTCCTGACTCGAGACTCCAATTGGCGTAGTAGCTTGGCGTTGTCGTGGCTCTCGTCGTTCTCGGACTTGCCCTTCTTGGGCCCGTCCTGCCTGCCCCCAGCGCCTTCCTCCACGGTCCGCTTGAGGGCGCTGCTCATGAGCCAATCCATAGTGTTCGATGGCCTCCTGGGGGCCTGGTAGCTCAAACGCCAAGATGTGGGTATGAAGGTGCTGGAGAAACAGATGTCTACGGATACCTTCGTTGTCGAGCCCGACATAGTCGCAAACAGGGCAGTCGTAAGCTGTCGGAAGAATAATTGTACCATCTGTTCGACCACGGTCTGCGTGACATGTGACACATCCCTCGAAGCATATTGTTGTGCATGTGGCACTTTGCAGTCTATAGAAGAGAAGTAGGAACCACAGATGACGCACTGGTTGGACATACCTATACGACCACCCTGCGGGTGATAAGGAAGTTGGGGGGGAGGGGGGCCAGCACTGGGCAACAGTGGTGATTGCTGGTTGCCGCTAGCTCTTGGGAGCCTTGGTGTCGATCTCATGATTGATCCCACTCAATCGATCTCACTATCGATCTCACTATCGATCTCACAGGCGATGTCGTGATCGGTCTCACGATCGATCTCACCATCGATCTCACTATCGATCTCTCTATCGATCTCACAAGCGATGTCGTTATCGGTCTCACGATCGACGGGACCATCGATCCCACTATCGATCTCACTCGATCGATCTCACTATCGACCTCACTCGCTCGATCTCACTCGATCGGTTTCACTCTGGATCTCGCTATCGATCCCACTAACAATCTCCCTATCGATATCACTCGATCTCACAATCGATATCACTATTCATCTCACTATCGATCTGACTATCGATCTCACTATCGATATCACTATCGATAGCACTATCGATCTCAGCACATGAAACCACGGGACACCGACGGGACACCGATGGGACACCGACGGGACACAATCGATCTCACTGTCGATCTCACTATCCATCCCACTATCGATCCCACTATCGACCTCGCTATCGATCTCACTATCGATCTCGCTTTCGATCTCACTATTCATCTTACTATCGATTCCCCTATCGATCTCGCTATCGATCCCACTCGATCGATCTCACTATCGATCTCACTATCGATCTCACTATCGATCTCACTATCGATATCACGATCGATCTCACTATAGATCTCACTATCGATCTCTCACTATAGATCTCACCATCGATCTCACTATCGGTCTCATTATCGATCTCACTATCGATCTCACTATCGATCTCACTGTCGATCTCACCACGGGGCACCACGGGACAACGACGGGACACCGGCGGGACACCAGCGGGACACCAGCGGGATACCGGCGGGACACCGCGGGCCACCAGTTGCCTGGCGGAGAATATTTTGGGTCCGGCCGCGGCCCAGCCACGACGGGACACCGGCGGGACACCAGCGGGACACCAGCGGGACACCGGCGGGACACCGCGGGCCACCAGTTGCCGGGCGGAGAACCTTTTGTTCCAGCCGCGGCCCAGCCACAGGAGAATTCCCTTTCCCCCGCCCACGCTGCTTCGCCTCGCCCGCACGCACGGCACGAACACGAGACCGAAATCGATTTCCCGGTAGGGGGGCTCTCCGTTCCACTTCGATCTCACCCCCCAACCTCCGACAACACATGCGACCCAGGAGCTGCTTTCCGTGCGTGCCCCCCTTCGTCATCAAGTAGTGTGCCGCGAGCTGTTTTTTCGACTGGAACCGTTCCTCACATGCTTCCACGTCATCTTTGAGGGCCGTGCATTTGAAGGGGCCTCCTCTTTCAATCTCCTCCTGCTTGTGCTCGTGCTGTGCGATGTTCAGAAAGCAGTGTGCCCTGATTACTCCTACATCCAATTGTGCGAACTCCTTTCTCCCCTCGAATAAGATTCCTTCCGCTCCATTTATTTCTAAAAGCCTAGCCCCGTCGTCGAACAGCTCGATTGTCTTGATGCCGTCTAAAAGCTGCTCGCACCATGGATTCGCTCTCTCGTCCTCGCTCGTGTGCTTGTCGAATTCGGTTTGTTCATCGGCCCGAGAGCGCCCGAAAACCACCGCAAGAAACTGAGCGAATCGGTCGTGCTTGGTTAGACACTGCTGGAGCCACCTGAGCCTTCGAACCCTCATCTGGACGTGCGGGGCTGCTAGCCCTACACCTGAAGAGGACCTGGGGATTGGATAATGTACGAATGGATCCATCTCCTTTTTGCTGGGCAACCCCTCGCAATAGCATCTTTGCACGCATTGCGAGGAAGCCAAGAACGGGCTGCCAGTCCTGTGCTCGCATTGGCCAAGTCTTCGAACAGAGCACTTATGCTCCAGTGTAACATGCATTCGCCACGTACCCCTTGAGTAAGTTGATTTTCCCGTCAAGTGGCACTTTGCTTCTCCAAAATCTGCCAATATTGTACCATGCTGCTATCCCCGCCGTCAATCGATATTCTATCTCGCTGAGCGCGAAACGTGCGTGAATACGGGGACCCAGATATCTGGCACACACTTTTGTTCTTCCATCAAGACACTGCTCGCGCAATAAAGTTCGCCTCGAGTTAAACTGCGTTCTGACCGCTAAGATACAGTCTATTCCCCTGCTTGCTTACATTTTGTGCCATCTTGATCTATGCCATGCGGTTGGTGATGACTGAGGTCTGAAACTTGCCTTCGCTGATGAAGGACTCCGTGCTGTTTTTACGTCAAAATTGTCAGCCGCATCATCACCATATCGAGTGACAATTGCCTACACCCGTCTCTTTGACTATGAACATAAGAAGCTGTTATGCTTGTACTTTGCCACATTCACAGAACCCATCCCCATCTGTCTGGAATACGTTCCCACGAAAATCCTCACCATCGCAGGGTCACCTGGAAGACACCCTTGTTGTAGGAGTAGAACGCTGTCCATCGTGTCGCCAGGGACTGTGAAACATGCCAGCGTGACCCTAGACTTCATTACGTGCCAATCTTCCTCTCGAAATAATAGCTCCACCTCCTCGCACAGGCTGCCATGGTCTATGCTGTAGAGCGCGTTCGCTGCATCGTGGGGCCTCTTGGCATGTGACTGGCTATTGCGATTTTACAGTGAGCGGCTTGAATAAGGAACACTTGCTTTTCAAAAGGGGCTCGGTCGTTCCTTAGGTTTGCATGCGATATTTACAGCTCCTTATGTGTTATTTGTTATTTATCGTTCCTTATGCGTTATTCCTTGGGGTGAAAAATGGGCTTCGTTCCTTATTTATCGTTCCTTAGGTCAGGCCGATGACTGTATCTCCAAGAAAACGCTCGTTGTACGATGGCCGCTGCCTCTCTGCGTCGGCCAGGAAGACGCCCAAAAGCCCAATATTCAACTTCAGGAGGGGAACCGCGAGCCAGGAGCGATCTGTAGAAGGCCTTGGCGATCGTGCGCGCGAGCGTGATCAGCCTCTCACCGTCGACGCCCCCCTTCTGGTTTCCATTGCCAAGTTTACATGCGTTGGAACAGATCCCTGAAACAGGGAGCTTGCCATGCCCCCCTTATCCCACGCAGCAGACACCATATGATGAAATACGCTGGGGCAGCTGATCTCTTCTCCTGCCCCTGCTCGTAGCCTGCGCCGTCGCTGCGCTGCTGCCTTCTTTTGTTGACCTGGTTAGGAAGCATAGCCACTCTCAAAAACTCTGCACACATACTCTCCTGCGGTGCCACTCTCCATAGCCGTAATCGCCATACTTGGTGCTTGACAGTGTCCACGTCCTCCTCAGTTTCGTCGGTGGTCACGGTGTTGCCTTGCTCTGGCAGGTCGTGCACCATCTGTAGCGTAGCGTCGTCGATGACGACTTGCACTGAAGCTCCGCCAAGCGCGCCCTCTTGGTGCATTCTCGCGATCCACTCTGTTGCGGTACCACTTGTCTGTAGCTGCCGATAACTACGCCGTCGTGGTCCTCATCCTTTGCATGTGATGAGCCTCGCCATTCTATGCACCTCGTGAAATTCTCCCTGTGTTCTGGCATCCCCGAATGCTCGCATTCTATCTTCTTCCACCCGTCGCCAACATCTCATTTTGTGCTGCCTTAGCCATTTGCTGATATTCGTGATCCGTATTGTGAGCTCCAGCTGCCGATGCTCGTCATCTTGCGAATCTGCCCAAGATAAACGTTCTCGCACTGCGCGGCGCTCTGCAAGTAAGTCTCGTAGATCTTTTGCATACAGTGTATGATTCTCCGTGTAACACTCTTTTGTGGTACATGTTGCCAAGGCGCCCGCGTTCAAAGCCTCTACCAGTAACTGATTAGCCCGCACCGCTATCGTGTATCCCGTCTGACTTCTGACCCAAGCTGCTTTGGAAAGGATGTGGTCGTGAACAACCCTCGTGAACTCCTGTCTTTTGTATCCTTTCTGCAATGAAGCACTCGCCGTCGACGGTTCAATCCTAGCTCGCTTCTCTTGTTTGGCTTGCGGAATGAGGTTCTTGGACCAGCAGACGCCCATTCCCAAGGGTAGGGTAGGTGGTCCCAGTCGCGGCCTCAGCGATGCGGCTGCAGTCTCCGCGTGCTCCTTCTGAATGTCGTGCACCATTTGACAGATTAGAGAAGCGCTGTCTGCAGCTCGATGTAGTCCAATGTTCGCGTCCTACCGCTTGATGCCACGAAGGTATAGCCAGCATCTCTCATCGTATTCACCATACACAACTCATGAGTCAGTAGGACAGGCTTGAATCTAATAGCTGACTTTCTCTCCTCTTCTCCGTGGTCGAAGGGCCCTATGACTCCATCGATCTCCTCGGTGAAGGCTGACTCAAAATCCATTGTGATCACTTGTATTCATCTCCCTGCGAGTGCGTCGAGCGTCTTGTTGAGCCACTGGATGATCGCCTCGCAGCAGTTGGAGTACTTGAGCTGGTCCTCCTTATTGCGAGTGCTGGGCGGAAAATCCAGAGAAATAAAGGCCACCCGTACTGATTGCCTTTCCTCTTTGCAGCTCAATACTTTGCCTTGGAGCCCTCTAGGGGCCGATATTACTCCACGAAGATGCGAGGGACGGAAGAACTTGTCGTTGAACCATATACTCAAACCACAAGACTTGTTTGACATTGCTCCTCCCTTCCATCCCTCAGAATCGCCCCAGGATGAGGAGAGACGCCGTAGTTCCCTTCCCCCATGCGGCTCCCTCTCCTAGGTGCCATCAAGCTCACCACCGCTACGTTATGCAGCTCGTCCAAAATGTTCAGGGCGCGCCCGCTGGTGGCGCTGTTGGGGTTATATGCTACGATACTTATCTGCCAAGAAGCGCCGCTGAGCACTCGGGGGACGGCATTGCGAGATGCTGCTGTCACTGCTTGCAGTTCTTCAAGTCTGAAGTGGCGCGGGGCTCTTGAAGCCTGGCACGGCCACTTGGAGGAGGAGGAGGAGGAGGAGGAGGAGGAGGAGGAGGGAGACACGAGGCGCGAGGCGCGAGGCGTGAGGAGCGAGGGAGAAGGGGGGGAAACCAGAGCTCCGACGCGCCACCGCAGCCTGCAGCTTGAGGCTCCAGACCGCTGGGCCAGCCGGACCACGGGGGCCGCACCCAGGGAGCCCACGCGCGGCTGCTGCCTCGACCGAGGGCCCCCCGCACGCCCTCACGCCTCCCCGGGGACGGCGCCCGAGGACGACGACGTGGACGTGGACGTAGCCAGCGCCGTGGTGCAGCCGCTGCCGCAGGACCCAGCGCGGCTGCTGGCGAGCGCGTCGCTGGGCGGCATGGCGACGCAGCCCTGCAGGTATGATGATGATAATGATGATGCTGATGATGCTGCTGATGATGATGATGCTGATGATGATGCTGCTGCTGATGATGATCATACTGATGACGATGATGATGTTGATTAGGTTGTTATAGTTGATGCTGCTGGTGAGGATGATGATGATGCTCATGCTGATGCTGCTGATGATGATGCTGATGATGCTGACCATGTCAATGGTGAGGATGCTGATGATAATAACGAGGATGCTGATGCTGATGCTGATGATGATGCTGATGATGATGCTGATGATGCTGATGATGATGATGCTGCTGCTGATGATGATGATGATGATGATGATGCTGATGCTACTGCTGCTGCTGCTGCTGATGATGATGATGAGGAGGAGGAGGAGGAGGAGGAGGGAGGAGGAGGAGGAGGAGGAGGAGGAGGAGGACGAGGAGGAGGGGGCTCTGAGGAGGAGGAGGGCGAGCGGCAGGGCCAGAGGCCTCCTGGGTGCCTCCCGGAGTCTCTCTGGATGCCTTTCGAGAGCTTCCTGGAGTCCTTCTGGGGCGTCTGGGGGGGTTTCTTGGCAGTCCCATGGGGCCTCCTGGGGCGTCTGGAGTCCCTGGGGGGCTTCTTGGGCCCTCCTCCCTCCTCCTCCTCCTCCTCCTCCTCCTCCTCCTCCTCCTCCTCCTCCTCCTCCTCCTCCTCCTCCTCCTCCTCCTCCTCCTCCTCCTCCTCCTCCTCCCCCAGGCCCATCCGGAAACAGGTCGCCAGGCGAGTTGCCTCGATCCGGGCTGTGCAGGCGCAGGCAGTGCAACAGCCGCCTTGGGCGCGCTTTCTCGGAGGCCTCTTGGAGCCATCTTGGAGCCGTCTCGTGGGAGCCTATTGGGGACACGTTGGGGCCCTCATGGTGGTATGCAGGCCATGTGTGTTGCCACCAGTTCCCATACCTCTCTCAGCTGCGGGAAGTCTCAGGCGCGACTTGATGGACAAGTTGGGGAGATGAGCGGCCCTCTGGATCCAGGATTTGCGTGGCGAGGATTGCCGGGACATCGAGGAGTCGTTCAGGTGGTGCGTGCCGTACCTGATGAAGGTCTTTGGGATGCCCGAGAACCAAGAGATGGTGGAAGGTTTGCGAAGGGAGTACCGCGACTCGAACGGCTACCCGTTCTCTAGGTGGCAGATAGCAGAGGAGCTATGCGAGACGGCTTTGAGCAGGTCGCGATGGAGGAGGCAGGCTTTCTTCCACTACCTGAGCTCGGTGGACGACAACGGGTGGCGCAACACTGTCGACCGACACCTGGTCCGATCTGGACGAGCTGGGAAGACAGCTGCGGCGGATCCTGGGAGGGAGGGCGCCCAACGTCGCGACCGAACACCTGCAGTACGACGATCGCTACGACGACATCGGGAAGAGACGGCTTTCTCGCAGGTGGTGGTGGAGAAAGCCAAGTTGCGCCAGTGTATCTTTGAGGAGGAAGAAAATGAGGCCGGTGGCAGGACGAGCCTGCAGAGCGACCTCAGCAAGGATCTGCTGTACCTGCCGTGGAAACGACAGCAGGCGGACGTCGTCATGCGCCCACAATGGGGCCGAGTGCGGGGGCCCGCGGGAGCGGTCATCAAAATCCATGCGACGTGCGGGGTGGACGTGGCCAGCTTGGCATACCTTCCAAGCGCGAGCTGGCAACCTCTTCGATATGATGGTAGTGTGCCCGATGGACGTGGCCGCGGTGATTAAGCTGGACGTTCAGGCGAAGCTGTAGGAGGACTGGACCGCGCAGGAAGAGTGCCAAATTTTTGGGCCCGCCCCGTACATCGAGCCAGTCGTCGCACAGCTGCGGGCAAGAGGTTTCCCTCAGCATGTTAAGAATGTGGCGCGTAAGGTCGTCCTGTGCGCCGCCTGGGCGATGAGGGATCTGAGCGCCTGCAGTACCGTGCCGATTGATATCTGCTTGGGTTGTTGCGAGGCAGTGGGCACACCGCACCATTTGCATTACGAGTGCCCCAAGTTGATGGAGGTACGCCTGAAAAGGGCAGCCTGAGTGGCAACGTGTGGCGGCGCAGCATGTCGACAGCCTGCTCTGGACGCGCGGCCTGGTGCGCGATCCCTCGGCCGACTGGACTTTTCAGGTGGTGGACGAATACTAGTACCACGGTGTCAATTGAGGGCGACGACCACCTGCTGACTGGACACATCGTGTGTGGCGGCTCGATGTCGGGCGATACGAAGTGGGCGCAGACTGGCTGGGCGGCAGTGGATATCACAGAGGACGGGGAACCCAGGGTACAGCTGTGCTGTCCGCTGCCGTGCCAGCTCCCAGTCCTCAGGACAGTTCAGCGTGCGGAGCTGTTGGCCTTCTGAAGTTGTTGGGGGGCGTGATGCCACCGTGCCGCATCTTCACCGACTACAAGGGAATCGTCGATGGCCTGGCGAAGGACGCGAGATGATGCTTAGCGTGGAAGCGGCCTCATGCGGAGCCGCGTCGGCGATATCTGGCACAATGTGAAGGACGTTGGTCTTGATATCAGCTGCGGCAGGCATGTCAAGGCGTGCATGTCCAAGACGGTGGTTGGCCAGCTCCAGTGCGAGGCTCGCATGACCGCGAATGGCATCGAGGCGGTGGACTTGTTGGCCAAGCAAGGTGCCGAGGACGACGCGTGCTGCGGCAGGCGGAAGGCGCTCGACGACCTTGGTGACAGGGTCAAGTGGGTGATCCAGAACTTGGGCTGGTGGCATTAGCAGATGAAGTGGGGGATGGCCAGCTTTTTCACCCCGGCCTCCAGGACAGGCGAGGCGGAAGCTGCTCGAGCCTCAGGTTGGCCTCGTGCAGCACCAGGTCGAGAAGCGCGGCCAACGCTGTGGGCGCCGAGAGGAATCTCTGGGGGTCGGAGTGCGTGGCGCCATCCAGGCGGGCCCTGGCGACGCCGAGAGGCAACGCCGCGCCGCGCAGGGAAAGCAGGGGCCCAGGGGCGCGGAGGAGTCGGCGGCTGTTTCGAGTGCGGCATCGACGTTTGCGATGGCTACAGCGGTGGACGTCGCAGGTCCAGCTCCTGGATAGCGTGGCGCAGTTGGCGGGCATGGCGCTGGAAAGGCCGGCGCGCGCTCGAGGGCGCCGCTCGGTGCTCGAGAACTGCGGGGGCCGGGGCAACGGCGGCGACGTCTGCGGCGGGTGCCCGAACGCGCTCGGCTCAGCCGGGGGAGGGGGCGAGTCCAGTCGCCAGGGATGCGGGGCCCCGTTCTGTCCCAGCCGCCGAGGGCGCAGCGGGAAAATCGAAGACAGCGCAACGTGAAGGCCCACGGCTTTTCGCGGCGCGCCTTGCGCGCGGGGCCTATTCGGCGCAGCGCCGAGACGGGCCGGGCAAGAGGGGGGGGGGCGGCGTTCGGGAGTCTCATTAGCGAGGCGCTGATATCCTGACTTCTTGGGGTCTCCCCCCCCTGCGCACTGGCGGGGCTTGGGCGCGCGGCGGCCGCGGTTTCCTCCTCGGCAGCGGGCTGCCCCGCCGGGGCTTCCCATAGTTGATTCCGCCGCGGGGTGGCCGCGAGGCTGCTCTGACGCGGTTTCTCCATGGCTCGTGCAACTCCCCTTGGCCGTCGGCCGAGGGCGTCGAGGCCTCTAGGCAGCCTGTCGCTATCAACAATATCCCCGCTGGAGCCCGCATCTGGGGGAAACGCTCCCGGGCGGTTGTGGCGACCGCCCTCGGAGGGCGCGCTCGAGGGCGCCGCGTGGCCGCTTGAGTCCGGGCAGAACGGAGGGAAGTGGTTTCCTTGCCCGATGGTTGTTGGGCTGACGTCTGGCGGGGCTGGCTGGTAGCGGTCATCGCGTCGGTCGAGAGACCTGCCGGGGTCGTGGTCGTCCTCGGCGTCGGGGTGTTCGTTGCTGCCGGGCCTCCTTGGTGGAGGCTTGGGCGTCGCGTTGCGCGGCGGTGGTTTGTGTTCCTTGGTCGCCCGAGGCCGCCTGAGGAGCGTCAGATTGGTTTCCCCGCCTGGCGGTAGCTCGGCCTGCGTTTGGTGAGGGGGGTGGTTGGTCGTCGTCGCGTTGGTCGAGAGATCCTCCGGGGCCGGCGGGGTCGCGGGCGCCTTCGGAGTCGAGGCGGTCTACGGCGCAGGCTTCCTTGAGCGCGGCCCGTTGGATGTCGCTATGAGGCCGCTTTCGATGGCCGGGGGTCGGGCGGGGGCCATGCGATTGAGCCTGTGTTCTGTGCGCCATGCGCGGCGGTGCTGTAGTAGAAGTGCGCGGGCGCGCTGGTCATGCATTGCGGGGGCGACGCTATGCAACGTTGCGGCGACTTCGTGGCCAGCTTTGCCTCTTGGATGACTTCGGCTGGCAGGTCGCGCAAGGCCGGCCGCCGCGTTTGTTGCGAGCTCGTCTGCGTGGCGGTTGAAGGGTTCGGTCGTGGTGGAGGCTTGCGTCGATGCCAGCTTGGCCGAGGTGGCCGGCTAACCTGCCAAAACGAAGCATGTCGGGCTTGGCCAGGGCGACCCAGTGCACCCATTCCCACGGGTTGCTCTGCGCGCCTGGGGCGGGCGGGGGCCCGCCGTCGATGGGGGCCTTCGACGACGGCCTGGCGGTCGACGTAGCTGTGGGCGGGTCTCTCGGCGCGCTGCGCGCTCTGCGACGGCCCGTGAACCCTGGCCGCGCAATCGAGGCGGTGCCCGTCGCCGTAGTAGCTTCTGCGCGCCGTGCTCGTCAAGGGCGGGTGTGCGCAGGGTGGGGGCGGGCGGTGGGTGCTGTCCGTGGCCGCGTAGACCCGCGGGCATCTGGTGGCCAGGTCGGCGTGGGCCCGGCGGTGGGCCCCGCCCCCGTCTTCCAGGGCAGGCCGCGGGGGGCGGCCGCGGCAGCGGGTCGCGAGACAGGGCGGCGAGAGAAAGAGAGAAGAGGAGGGGTGAGAGCGGGGCGGAGGGAGGGGGGGGGGCATGCCCCCGACGTCGCGTGACTTGCGCCCCCCTGCGCCCTTGGCTCCTTCTCTTTCCTTGGCTCGTCGCGCATTTTGTTCTTGGCCTGGGCGATCCCCGTGCGCGGTCAACTCGCAGACAGAGAAGTCGGCCGTCTTCTTTTTCGAGGCGAGGAGGTTTGGCGTGGGAGTTAGAGTCGGCGGCGAGCGAAACGGGGTGGCGAGAAGGTAAAGGCCCTTTCAGGTGGTGGTGGGGCTTCTCGGAAGCCCTCGCGCCCCCTTAGAAATCCTTGGAAATTTCCCGTGCTTTCGGGGAAGACTTATGCGAGTTCTCAGGAGGTCGGGGAATTCCCGAGCCTTCTGAGAAGCCCCCCCCCCGGCGCGCCGCCGTCTGGAGGGCGAAGGGGGGCCTGGGGGTGAGTTGGGGGGGGAAACGCACGCAAATGCAAATGATCGTCGATTCCCGAGACAATGTGAGGGACTATTGGAAGCGCGGTGTAAAACGAAAACCAAGAAAATGGCAAAATCAGAAGGAAACCCTGGGATACGTTTGTATTATTCCCCAATCAGCGCTTGAGTCTGTAGGGGTCCTAGCGCGGGTTCGTATGGTTCGGTGAGGTTCGTCGCCGATTTCGGTGGCCGGCCCGGGTGCCCGGGTGCCCGGGTGCCCGAGGGTGCCCGAGGGTGCCCGGGTGCCCGGGTGCCCAGGTGCCCGGGCGCCCAGCTGCCCGGGTGCCTGGGTGCCCAGTAGCCTCATAGCATTATATATCCATATAGCCCTATAGCCTTACAGCCTTGCAGCCGTATATAGCCGTATAGGCCTGTAACCCTATAGCCCTGTAGCCCTCTACCCCTAAATCCCCATAGCCCTATAGACCTATAGCACTAAGATTTAAAGCCGTATCGCCCAATAGCCCTATCGCCCAATAGCCCTACAGGTCTATAGCCGTATAAGCTTATAGCCCTATAGTCCTATATACTTATATCTATATAGCCCTAAAACTCTATAGCCCTATAGCCCTGTAGCCCTATAGCCCAACAGCCCAATTGGCCCAATAGCCTTATAACCCTATAGCTCCATAGCTCCATAGCACTATAACCCTATAGCACTATAGCCCTATAGCCCTGTAGCCCTGTAGCCCTATAGCCCGGTAGCCCTATAGCCCTGTAGCCCTGTAGCCCTATAGCCCGGTAGCCCTATAGCCTTACAGCCCTATAGTCCTATAGCCCTACAGCCCTCTAGCCCGAAAGCCTTATAGCCCTATAGCCCCATAGCCGTTTAGCCCTATAGCCCTAATTGCCGTTTGGCCCCGTAGCCCCATAGCCTTAACAAGATTATGATTGGGGTTTCTCTTCGGTATCATATATCACATATGCATTCTCTAGTATTCCCCATCTGAGCTTGCCTCTGTAGGGGTCCTAGTGGATTCATAAGATTAAGTGAGGTGCGGCGCCGATTTCGGCGGCGCGCCCGGGTGCGGGTGCCCGGGTGCCTGGGTGCCCGGGTGCCCTATGGCCTCATATACCTATAGCCCTATAGCCATATAGCCTTATAGTTCTACAGCCATATATAGACCTATAGCCAGCCCTAAAGCCCTATAGCCCTATAGTTCGATATGCCAATCGCCCTATAGGCCTATAGCCCTATAGCCCTA